AAGGACAAGTGCCACAGGCACCTATCGGATCGCCGCTTCCAAACAATATGCCTCCGATGGCTTCTATGGGACAATACATGGCTGGGTATCCCTCTAATATGGGGAATGCGCAAATGCGATATCAACTCCCGGGAGACCCGAACAAGATGTTATCAGGCAATAGACACAAGAAAGAAGTCAAGCGACGCACAAAAACCGGTTGTTTAACTTGTCGCAAACGAAGAATCAAGGTGAGCGCAAATGTGTAGATTCGCGGGGCGGAGTTTCTCGCTCGCTTGTGCCCGTCAGACCCCGCCATTTATTTTGTCCGCTTAAATCCACCCTCTCAACCTCCAACTTTTTTTTTCTTTCAGTTATTTGGATATTTGGATATTTTTCTGGTTCTAACTTGCCTTTTAGTGTGACGAAGCACATCCCGTTTGCAGAAATTGTGTGAAGAGCAAACGTGAATGTTTGGGCTACGATCCTGTGTTTCGGACTCAAGCTTCTACACCATCAGCTATCCAACCAGCTCCTAACCCTCCTCCTTCGCTGATTGTGAATCCACAAGGCCCTTCTACTTCATCAACACCTTCTTATCCTTCCTATCCCTCTGCGCCTCCCGGGTACATGCCCGCTTCGTCTCAACCATTCGCACCTTCTCTCCACTCCGAATCGCCCACTGCCTCTGCTGACCAACACGAGCACGGAGCTTCTATTGATTCTTCTTTGGCAACGAACAATCAATCCAATCATACAGAAATGCAGAACACCGGCGTACCACGTCAACAAGGCTCGGAGCCTTCATACAAAGGTGAGTTTATATTTGTTTTCGTCGGCGCATTGCCGCATTATGCATAGGTAGCTAACAATCCGTCTAGCCAAAAACCTCTATGTCAATGACCTCTTCTCTTTGAGGGGAATCGCCCCTCCTCCTCCCAACCCTGTCGCAACTCTTCCACCCGGCCGCCTCGAAGAGATCCAGGCAGTTTTCCTTGCCACATATGCACCTGCGATCGACAAGCTTCTCGAGGTTCGCTGGTATTCGGAGAATGCTCTCTCACTACTCATGGCCGATGCCCAGCTTATGGCGGATTATTCGGCTTTGATCATCGCTTTCAACGAATGGGACCTTCAAGACGGCGAAACACTTGCTCGTCTAGAGAGTTTCGAGGCCTCGATCATCTGGAAAAGCATGTCATTGTGTCGCCAGGTACCGGACGGGGAAACTGGACAACAGGGGCGAGACTGGAATCTCTGTGTGTCTTGCGCACGTTTAAACGTGGTCGAGGCATTGCTGACTTGGAACCACCTGGACTCGAACCCCTTGTCGCGGGAGCTAGTCATGGATGCCGCCAACCCCCCGAACACCCCAGATCAGTTCCAGAGCCGCCAATTGGATTTCTGGGACCAGGTCGGAGAATTCCTCACACTTTATGACAACGAAGCAAGCTCGGCCAAGCAGATCGACGACACCCTCAGCCGGTGTCGACAATTGCTGGATACATATGAGAACCGTGATATCATATACTCCATCTCTGTTGCACGCCATCTAGGACAGCGCTGGGCTGACTTCCCTAACAGCCTGCCTAAGGTGGGCTACACCACCGAGAAAGAAGCTGGAACAAGGCTCTTTGTCGCACAGAAGTTCCTCGAAGAAGAAGCCGAGGGCAAGGGCACAACACAAGTCTACAAGCGGGTTTGCTGCATGGCAGTACGCTCATGGTGGGTTGCTCGCGGGTGATCAAACCTCTTGTGACTAACGTCGCTTCCGAGCGTCTGCATTGCCCCTCATACTCTTACATTACTCCTTGCATAATGAGTTCCTAACCAAGGGCCATTACACCCTCTTCTCGATCCTGCGTCCTCACGGGGTTTTCATCTTGTTCTTTTGCGGTCAACAAAACAAAAGCATCATGGTCAGGCGTTATGTTTTCTTTTGCTCTGAATGATATGATCTCAATTCTCTGCCTGTTTACATTTCTTTCTTTTTGTTTCTATTGGGGGTTTAGGGGACTGGGCAGTGAGCGAGCAAAGCACTACGGCGTTTTGGCCTTTTCTTCCCCCCCCGAACATGTGGAATTATAATGACTCCATCTGTCTTTGTGTACATATAGACCGGATAATGTCCGTCACTCGAAATCGTTTATTTTCTGTAGTGCTTTTTACCTCTGGTTTTTGATTATGGAGTAGTACTGAGTTGCACCTTCCAATTTCGAGCACTTTCCTAGCGAGAACTTGGATTCTGTCAACACCCAGGAATGGAAATAATAGCGAGTAGACATTCTGGGCTTATCACTCTACAATATATAATATTGTATGAAGCCTGAACCGTCCAGACGACTTTTGTACGTATAACCAGGGAAATACTGCAAAACATGATCAAGTGGCTAGGCGTAGAATGATTATCATCTCGAAGGACTACCTCGTAGACGCACAATCAGAAATCTCAACCCGAATTCTAACCTCTCCCACTTCATTCTGAAACAGGAACCCGATATCCCTCGTCGAATCAACCAGCTCCACCTCCCTACGCACAAACCGGCTCTTATCAGGGCCATCATCGCCCGTTGTCTCAAGCCCAGAGCCAATATCAGGTCGACCCTCATCCTCACTATCCTCATCCCATTCACCAACAGCCTCATCGCCAACTTCCTTCTCCACAGGATCCCACTCGTCCGTCTCCCAGACCAACCGGAACCCAAACGCCGGTAGCCCGAAGAGCCGCGACACAAGTGCCTTGACTTGGTACGTATCAAACGAGCCAGGGATTTCTTTGACTTGGGTCTTGGATTCGTCGCTTTCAAGTGGCAGACGGAACGCCATCTTGACCAGTCGGGCTGCTACAGACCGCGGATGGATGACTCTCGCACCTGAGGAATCCGACACGACTGCTCTTGTGATAGTCGGTTCAACGTACAGCTCGCACAGCTCGCTGTACCGCGGGTGTGTGGCGAGGATGGCGGGTTCTTCTTCCTCGGTTGTGGCGGATAGTTCTTTGCCAATGAGGGATAGGTAGTACATCTCTGCGTTGGAGCGGTCTTGTGGTGAGATGGTGCTGTAGTTTAGGATGATGAGGGAGGATGGGAAGCGAGATAGGGTTAGCATGAAGGCTTCGTCGACGGTCATCGGTTTGGATGCTTCTGTGACATATGGTGGGAGGGGCGGTTGGTCGAAGAGGGGGTTGGCGGTGGTTCGGAGGGTGGTCAGGCCTGGGAAGACTGTAGGGAGTATGTTGAAGATGACCCAGGAGGTAATGTTGTTGCGGGATATATCGAGGGATCGGAGAGTTGGCGGGAATTGGAAGTCTAGGGTTGTATCTGTGGTGTTTTGGTTCACGGTGCTGATGATGTTGCCACGAACGGAGAGGTGCTCCAATTTTGGAAGTGCGGCGAGATGCCGAAGAGCTGATATTGAGGTGATCTCATTGTGCTCGAGGTTTAATGTTGTGATAGTGCTAGGGAGTGGACAAGTTATCTCAGAGAGCTGGTTCGCAGATGCTGTGAGAGATGTCAAGCTAGGGAATCGATATGCAATGGCAGCAATCTATGTCCAAAGTCAGCTTTGCTCAAGATTATCTGTGATTCATATGCCACATACTTCGTCCCAGCTCAGCAGGGTTTCTTCTAAATGTAACTCGGTGATCCCCTTGAAGGTCAGATCATCCTCCAAAGCTTGAAATCGATTTCCGCTATTGTCGAGTCAGCTCTACCATCGACAAGCTGACCAACTTTGAGACTTACCTCAACTTCAACCGTTTCAGGTGCTTAAGCTGATTGCAGATATCCCAAACATCACGCCATTGACTCAATAAGCTTCGACTGAGATCAAGTTCCGTAATCTTGGGACAAGTTTCTCCAATCTTTTGTGCTGCCTTACTATGTGAGTCTTGAGCCTGATTGTAGGATGCAAGAACCCCGGCAATTCGTAAACCATCAAGCAAGACAATGCGTAACTGTTGGAGCTCAGCGAGCTGTTTGCGGATTTTGTCGAAGCCAACCTCTTCAACAACCTTGCCGCTAATTTCGATTGCCTTGCCTCGAACTGTTCCACCAGTCAAGGCATTACTAGAAAGGCCACTCACAGACTCAGAAGCATACTTCTCCCGCAGGGCTTCTAGAAAGCTCCGAGGCTGGTCCGAAGGCCTGGAGGGGCGAACGAAAGACCCCGCCGTGGGTAGTTTGCTTTTGCCTGAAGCCAGGTTAGCCATGATTCAGATTTCAAAGTGAGATATTCATACATGAAAAGTATCTGACGCCTTTATGCTCTCCTGAGTGCTTGCCTCGACTTGCATCGTCCCATTCAACACCCAGCCAGTCACCGGTGGTCCCTTGAACGGTGCCCACATAGCGAATAGTACTTAGGTGACCATCGAACGACCGACGTTGGCCTACAACTGGGACACTCATAGCTCAAGCCAGACCTACCAGGTCATTTGTTCAAGTGTTTTGATGAGGGCTACTTTGTACTGTTTATCCATGATATCGCCCAAACAGCCAGCTTATATAATCAACGGCATTTCACCTGGGCTTCACTTGGATTAATGGCTGAAGACCAGGAATATTTCTTTAATCTTAAACAAAGCACTGCATATATAGCTCTAAAGCTTTACTACAGCTAGCTAACCTTTTTTCAAGGCTTTTTTTTCTACAAAAGCAAGCTGATGAAGGAACATGTTTTAGCATGTAGAAAAAGGTATATCCATTAGGAAGGCGGTCTATGCTTGATAATATGGCCCAATACTTTGGAGGTCCCAGTATGTTTTCCTCACATTTGGGAGATTCAGATGTTACAAGCATCTTTGAATGACCGAAGAATGAGACCAAAGCTAGATAATACTGCCATAATATATGAATGTCTAGATATGCATGTTGCACCAAGGCCACGGCCATAGTAATAACTGCCGTGGCTGACAGTGCTATATTAGCTACGATAGGAAGGCGGTCTCTGCGGATACCGCCTTCGCAAAACACCTGGATAGTGAACTCCGCCAACTTTCTTCAAGCTACAGCGCCGACAAGATGGATTACCAGGTATGTACACATTGACCTGGCGTATTGCCAGATCCTTCATCTAGAATCCTATCATGCTAACACATCCCGCAGAACCGAGCAGGCTCCAAATTCGGCGGCGGCGGCGTCGCCTCCAAATCCGCCACCAATGCCGACCGACGCGAGCGGCTGCGCAAGCTCGCAATGGAAACAATGGATGTCGAAAAGGATCCCTATATCTTCAAGAACCACCTGGGAACATTCGAGTGCCGACTCTGCTTGACAGTACACCAGAACGACGGCTCCTACCTCGCCCACACGCAGGGCCGCAAGCACCAAACGAACCTTGCACGACGAGCGGCGCGCGAGGCGCGCGAAGGAAAGAACCAAGACCAATCGTCTATGCCCGGCGTCGCGGGCGTGCAAGTCAAGAAGCAGCTGATCAAGATCGGCCGGCCGGGATACAAAATCACCAAGATCTTGGACCCTCTGACACGCCAGCAGGGCTTGTTGTTCCAGCTGCAGTTCCAGGAGATCACCCCGGGTGTTACGCCTCGTGTGCGCTTCATGTCGGCTTTCGAGCAGCAGGTTGAGACTCCCGATAATAAGTACCAATACTTGGTTGTTGCGGCGGAGCCTTACCAGACTTGTGCGTTTAAGTTGCAGGCTAGGGAAATCGATCGTCGGGATGAACGCTACTGGACTTGGTTTGATGAGGATAGTAAAGAGTTCTGGATCCAGATTATGTTCAAGACTGAGCGGGAAGAGATGTTCAGTGGTGTGCCTGGTCTGGCGCCCATGCAGACTTGAAATATTTTCTTTCGATTCCCTTTTTGCTCATTTATCTCTCTTGCTCTGCTTTGTTTTTGGACATGCATCAAAAGTTGATCGTTGTCTCCATGGCGGAAATCAGGATAGGCGTTTCGGGGTTGTTCCATGTTGATACTTAGTTTTTATCTGATTCTCGAGCGACTCGCTTTTCATGACAATTGAAATTCAATTTTGATGGCAGACATGCCATCAACAATACTTCCAATATTCTTTATGGTCCTATGTATTACTTAGCTGTCTGAGAGAGTCCACAGAACAGTAATCATAGCATTGGGCAACCAGCCGAGTCAGTACTTGCGGCTGAGCTACTAACATGAAATGCAGTCGTCTTCTCTGTTAACAGGCTTGAAAGGTATACGGCTGCATATCCATCGAATTTACGAAGATTGTGTATTGTGATAAGGGCAGATAGAGTCAGAAAAGACACATGCATTTTATTCTTTAGGGTAATATCCTGACTATCCTAAATCAGCTGGGTCTTTCTGACAAGTCGTATTTGTATCGTCTTGAGAAAGATGCAAGGCATGCAAGGCGTTAGATACATATGTATGTATCAACAAGTGAGACCGGAGATGGATCATGATTTGGGAAAACAACATCGCGCTGATATGCTCAATGATAATGCGTAACGAGGTGAAAACAAAACCGAGCTTTTTTTCTGGCCGACAAAAGACATTGAGAAACAAAGGATGCAAGCCCTGCTTGCTTCCATTTTCTCGCGGAATCGGTCAGACTCGGAGCACAACAAACCTAAGTGGTTTGGAAGGCATTGAAAGCCTTATAGGTATAGCCGATGAATGGCAAGCTCATCTCTGCTTCCTGTGAGTCTGGCATGGCACGAGCCTGGGCGCGGTGGATCGCGCTGGTATCTTCCTGAGGAATTTCATCAATCGGGAAGTAAGACACATCAATGTTCGAGCTGAGGCGAGGCTCAAAGGGAGCACGGATGCCGCGCAGTTGATCCCAAACAACACCCCTGAAGAAGGGGTGGTTTTTGATCTGCGTCGCGCCTCCGTGCTGACCACCTTCGCTGCCAATACGGTGATCTGGGTCACACAAGAAACTAGACAGTTCAGTTAGCGGGTTGTCCTTTTAGATTTTGGATAGGCAGATCAGAACTTACCTTCGGATCAACGCCTCAGAGTCACGTCCAAGGACCAGTTCATCAGGGAAGTACAAGCACTCTCTCCAGTTGACGATTTTCCGGTAGGTGTCATTTGTGTCTTCGGCACAGAACGGAGGCCAGCCCACGAGACATTCAAACATGATAGCACCAACAGACCACCAATCGCAGAGATAAGTGTAACCTTGGCCGTTGAAAATCTCAGGAGCAATATAATCTGGGGTTCCAACAGTGGAATAGGCCATGGCACGGCGAGACTTTCGCCAGGTATTGATCTGACCACGGTTGGACACTGTCAGATTGATGGCGTCATTGAAGTATCCGGAGTTGCGGTTCCGATCCTTGGAAGTAGAGTTCTTGAGAAGGTTTTGGTAATAAGCGTTGTCGTGAGTCTTCTTGCCACCGGTCGACAGACCGAAGTCAGTAAGCTTGACGTGACCACCCCGGTCAAGCAAGATGTTGTCAGGCTTGATATCACTGCCCAAGAATGATTATTAGTATGGACTGTCTTGTATGTTGACATATGCACCTTGTTCTTCATTAGAGAGAAAAGCAATGCACATGCCAATGTCTCAACTCGCAACCAAAAAACCAAGTATCACTTACCGATGGAGGAAACCAAGCTTGTGCACAGCTTCAATTGCCATCACGACCTCGGCCATGTAGAACCGTGTAATGTCCTCAGAAAAGATCTCGTACTTGATCAACATAGTCATCAAATCACCACCGGGCAAAAACTCCATCAGCAGGTAAAGGTACGCAGCATCCTGGAACGATGCATGAAGCTTCACCAGCCAAGGGTTATCCTTCGAATCCGCTAGAATATCACGCTCGGCACGGACGTGAGCTAATTGATCCTTCTTGAACATTTCCGTCTTGATCAACGACTTGAGGGCGTAAATCTTGCCATCAGTCTTGCGCTGGACGAGCTTGACCTCACCGAAAGCACCCTTTCCGATAATCTTGATGGTTTGGAAGTTCGCCGGTGTCTCCTTTGTTCGCAGGAACCGAAGGAAGTCAGACTCTCTCTTGGAAATCACGTCGGCATCCTGGCGCTTCTTTTCGACGGGGACACTGGGTTCACGGATTGTTTTGTCAAGTTCTGCCGATCTGTAGGGGCGAACATCATAGGTGTAAGTCAGAAGTCCGGGACAAGATTTCAGGGTTTCCATTTAGAACATGGATACTTACCGCATGTTACGGTCACGGGCCCGTTCGATATTCTCGTGGAAGAACACAGTCACCAGCTCCTTTGCCGCCTTGCCTCGCTTGTGCACATTCTCGGAGTACCGATCGGGGAAGCGTTGCAACTCTTCGTTCTCGGAGGGTGGACGAGGGCTGCGGGGCACGGGCGGGATCAGGTGTGATGCTTGGGCCTGTGTTTGAGCGGGGGAGCCACCGGCGGTGCGAGGCCGCTGGGCTGGGGAGCCAGCCCGGTTATTGAAAAATCCTGCCCGGTTTGCGTTCAGGTCCTGGTTGGAGAATTGCTGGATCAGACCATTGGTGCCGTCGGGGTAGCCCGGGCGTGTTTGGTACGCGGGTTGGGGCGATTGCAACGCCTGCTGTTGCGCGTACTGTTGTTGTTGCTGATGTTGCTGCTGCTGGGCATACTGCGGCTGTACCTGTTGGGGTGGGTAATTGTTGGGCATAAAATAACCCGGAGCGTAAGCTGGATTGGAGGGGTCGACGTATTCCTGGGCCCCCTGAGTCTGATAGATGGGCTGGGGGAAGGCGGAGGGGGTAGTGGGATAGGCGCGGTTGTTGGCATTGTAATTACGGTCATAGCCGTAATTCATGTTGTTGCGATTATTGTTGTTGGGATCCATCTTGACTCGAACTCCCAAGGGACTTTTCAAGGTAGATGGGGGTGAAGAAAGGTGGGAGTTGAAGACGAGGGCGGGGAGTTTAAAGAAGCGGTGGCTCAGGAGGCAATCTAGCCCCAGCGTGACTGGTTGACTATTGTTTACATGTTACATCTTTACACCACTCCATTGACCCCAAACAACTGTTGTATCTGTTCTTAATGTCTGTGATACTTTTCTTTTTATCCAATTTATTAGAATCAGGCTAAGTAGATTGAGAGGGGGAATTGCCAATGTGCTAGTGTGCTAATGGATCTTTTATAAGATGAAAATTTATTTTACATATCTTGCTTGTGGTGTTCCAGTAGATCACAGCCCTCTGGGAACAGCCCCTGAGTGTCACTAGAATTCAGGGCCTTGTGTGCTCAGTACATCTCTGGCAGTTTTCTGCAACTTTTTGACTTTCTTCTGATTTAGTACTCAGCTCTTGCCGCTTTTAAGAAACCTTGAAACCCCTGAAGGTATTATATAAGCTTGACACGTGAGCTCCGGAAATGCCCCCACCTGCTAGCCCTATCTCTATCATGCTTTGTGTTCATACATACGCAGTACTTATAATATCTTTGATTTTCTGTCGAGATAGAAGAGATATTTTATCTTATACAGCTTGGAGGAAGACATCTGTACTCTGACATTGGAAATTCAAATGACTTTATGTTCTTTATCTCGTCTTCCAGTCAGGTTGAGGCCTCACCACGTGCAGTCACCACCATATTGTGTACACCACGCCATCTGAACAGGTGCAAGAGTGATTCCCCGCAGCACCATCCTCTCTCTCATATCAGACAATCTTACAGCTGCGTCAATCTGGCTCCTATTTTGCCCGCTTTGAGTCTTCCGCCCAGACCACATATTTTCTCCCGCGGCGCACGATCGTGGCCAGACCATCGGATCCAGGTTTGATGGATCGCTTTGCTCGCTAAAGAGATGGATCTCGCCTCCAATAACCAACTTAGCCTGCTCAGCAGACAGAGAAGCGGTTGGGTCATATTCCCACACCACACGCCAGTTGTTAATGGGTGAACAAAAGTCAGCGTACGGGTAGTTGGCTGGGATATCGGCGTTTTCGAAGTTGAACCATTTTCCGTGACCACAGGCGAGGTACTAAATATTGTTAGCAATTGGCAAAATTTTGGCATGGACGATTCACGAACCCAGCTGTCGGTATCTCCGAAGAGAGCTTTGTGTCCTCGCGAAGTTACCGCGTTAAGGGCTTTAGCACCATCCCAGGTCTGAACTATGACATCTTTTCCAATGGTAAGATTCCATGTGAGAAGCAACTCCTGCCAAATAATTGGTACAAGGCCTGCTTTCCTGACCAAGTCATGACTGTGGTCGACGAACTTTTGAAGTAGGGGGGTGATGACTGCGACGTCCTTGGAGTTGACAGTGTCATCCAGAAGGTAGTCGCTACTTTCAATCTCGTCTCCACCTGTGTGGAAATATGCCGAATATGGAGAGAGTCTGGGTAGCACATCATCGAACAGTTTGGTGACAAAGTCGTAGACCGGCGTGGAATTAAGCTTGAGTTGCCCGCAAGGGGGCTCAGAGCAATAATCATGCCATGACTGCTGACGAAATGCGGTGACGAGCTCTGGGTATGCGAATCCAACGGCTGTTGTGTGGCCAGGCATATCTATCTCAATGATAACCTCGACACCACGGTAGATACCGTAGATCTGGATATCTTCGACATCTTGAGGCGTATAGGATAGTCCATCGTGATACGCTCCTTTTTTAGATAGTTCTGGTAGCGCGGGGACATCCAGGGGCCAGGCTTGTGCATCGGTCATGTGGATGTGGAAACGATTGAATTTGTTCCAAGAAAGGGCATCAATAGTCCGGAGGATGTGCTCTTTGGGGTACCAGTTTCTGGAAACATCCAAGTCCAAGCCTCGGTGGTTGAACTTTGGCCAATCACTAATACTGACGGGGGCGAGATTGGAATACACGCCAGTGCCTTTGACCGAGTGCGAATAGAATAATTGTGTGAAAGTCTCCAGAGCACGGAGAACTCCAGTAGATGATTCTGCCGAGATGGTTGCTTCGCCATTAGTTCCGATAGTTAAGTTATAATTTTCATTAACTGTGCCTGCGAGGGGCTTGAATGTTGATTTGTCGTCTTTTGTCGTCTGGGTGATCTGGAGTCTCCGGATATACGTCTTTGAATGGCCAGCCGCCGGGGGTTCATATTTATCCAGCTCATTGCGTGGATGGAACTTCCAAGGAACAATACTACTTGCGAAGATAGATTCACGAGCCCTCTGCACAGCGGCCGCGACAATCTCCAAGCTTGCGATCGTTTTGGTTCCAGCTTTTGGGCGCGGAAGCTGTGGTTGAAGATCCTTGTCAGCTGTTTGATAGAAGAAAAAAAGTACCATTGTATAAACCTACATCTTGATTGTTATATGAGACCTTAAAGTCCTCCGCAATCCAAACAGTAGAAGTTCCGTTGGTGAAAGATTGAGGGACAGGCCATAAGGCCGCCACATGGCCGGCAAAGGCGAGGAAGGCAAAGAACCTCATAATGATTCAAATGGACGGAAAGTCACAGATATTTTGCTGCAGATGCACACTTTATATATAAATCTAACTACTAGTCGGTGTCATCGGGGGTCATTTGATATGTCGGATGTCGTGATGATGCAGGAACGCTAGAGGATTACAGGGTTGTACAAGGTTACACTTGGAACTCGGGGCTTTAGCTCGCTACTAATTTCCTACAAATCATGTGGTGCTTTTAGCATATATGTCGTTCTCTTACTGAATGTGGTAAGCTAGATAATATAGAATGATAAGCACTGTACATTACGCTAACCCTTTTAGTTATGGGCCACCGAGAGCCGGAGCTAGTTACTAGCTCAAAGTTACTTATGTATGTACGTATAAAGTTTAAGTATAGTTCATACATTTCGACATATTTCACAACCCCAGGTCTATGATGACGCATATCGCTGAGTGACCAGAGTCGACCCACTGATAGACATTATCCTATCCATATCGTGTTGCGATGTAACACCAGCTTCACTCTACATGTAATAAGACGCGGAGATTTAATCTATCCTCTATTGTTACATACCCCGCTCCTAACAAATAGAACCCTAACTATAGGAGGACTCGACCGGAAGACTAAACCTTTTTATAAAGCACGTAATGATAGTGGCGTATGGCAACCAAGTTCACCAATTGCATATGCAGCTATAGTACAATATGACCTGTCTTGCTATCATGGTGGTTAAGGTCGTACTGACTTCTCAAAAATATATAAGGAAGGAGTATTGCAATGGTGGTTAGAGTTATATTCATTCTCCTATAGACTCTTGTATCTTTCAATATTCGTATCTAGTCAAAGACGTTCAAGGATGGTTCGACTTTCTACCCTCGTTAGCGCTGCTACGCTTGCGCTATCAAAGACGGTCACGGCGAAATATGCGTTGTTCAAGACGTACGACACCACGAACTTTTTTGACGGGTTTGAATTCCGAAACGGCACTGGATCTGGCGGGTTTGCTCAATATGTGGATGCTGCAACCGCAGAGGCAAAATCTCTGGCAGGTATTCGGGACGGCAAGGTATACCTAGGCGTCGATAATACAACTGAAAACACAACTGGAGGTCGACAATCCGTCAGAGTCATCACAAAGGATGTGTTTACCAACGGGCTTTATATCGCTGATATCGCCCACATGCCAGGTAATGCCTGCGGCATCTGGCCGGCCTACTGGACCAGTGGTCCAGACTGGCCCAACGGCGGCGAGATTGATATCATCGAAGGCGTCAACATGCAGAAAACTCCTATCATCACCCTGCACTCTGGAAAGAACTGCACCGTCACCAATACTGGCTCGGCAGCTGGCTCGGTTCTCGTCGATCCCGATTGTGACAGCAGTACCTCCTCTGGCGGCTGCTCCCAGACGTCGACAAATACCCAGGCCTACGGGGACGGCTTCAACGCGGTCGATGGTGGCGTGTACGTAACACAATGGCTAAGGAGCGACATCTCGGTCTGGTTCTTCCCCCGTAGCAGCATCCCGGCGGACATTACGAAAGGGGCTCCAGCACCACCCACTTGGGGCAAGCCATTGACCCGGTTCGTGGCCTCAGGCTGCGACTTTGCGACTCACTTCAAGAGCAACGACATTATATTCAACACGAACCTGTGTGGCTGGGCGTAAGAGAAAATATTCATTGATGCATTAAGAGCTAGGCTAACACATACCAGTGGAAGTGAGTGGCCATCCGAGTGTAAGGCGAAGGCTGCTACCTGTAAGGAATATGTGGCTCAGAATCCGTCGGCATACTGGGATGCGTATTGGTTGATCAACTCTGTCAAAGTATACCAATGGAGCAATGCTGCCAAATAGGGCTTCGATCTCGGGGATGGGATGGCCATCTCATGCAAAAATCAGATTAGGCCACAGCTAGATATATAACACCGAGAGACTATATATGCAATACGAGCTCCAACTTCATTCTTCGTATAGGTTTATTATATCAATACTAACGTATTTATCAGGCGATTGACCTCTCTATGTTTGGTCACGGTTATATACTTTATAGGTAATGTAATGTGGTCTCTAAGCTGTAAGGAGGTTTATCAGATGAGCGGCTGCAGCTGACCTTGGGAGGTTTCGCAATGATTCTTGGCCTCAGGAAATCAAGGTTACCAGCCCTGGAAGTTTCCAAGGTCCCAACCTTGGAAGATTCAAAACTTGCCATTTTAGGTCTAGTGTGAGGCTCTTTAAGGTTTTTGGTACGAAGGGGACAGCCACGTTTTTCTCCACTTATAACATTTCCGCTCCCCACACCGTGGGCAGTGTCTATCTTGCCCCTTGCCATCTGGGTTTATGCATATATCTGCGATAATCCCCATTGGTGAGTGTGAGATGATTTACTAATTTGCTTTCCCGTGATATGCATTATACCTTGAATAATCCCTAGTGTCTGCAGGCCTGTCAATTGTATTTTCGCCTTTCGAAACTGCCATAGGGAGGGGAGGTATGTGTCTCCCCTCCACAACGGGTATATATACTCAATGCCCAAATTTGATCCAAACTCCATATCGTGGCATATTGAGCGATTAAGCTACCCTTTCTTCTGCTAACTCTGCATTTGTCTTCTACCTTGGTGGCGCGATACAATGACACATTCATACCACAACTTGGCCAATGCAAACGAGCTTGGTAACAATGGATTGATTTTGGTTGACACCCACCGTGATCGTGATTTTGATGCTTATCAACCATGTATGGACACGGGGCTGCCTATGCCCACCACGACTCATCCTCAATACGACCGGAGTGGGAGTCAGTCCTGGGTGTATCTAGTCTCAAATACCGACCAACCCTGTGCATGGAACATCGCTCAACTAAATCATTTGGCCCAGGTTCCAATTTGCAACGGCACGAATTACCTTACGGTCGAGGGATACAATGTCACTGAGGTCTCTCACACGAGCGCTCCCTATACCGGATACGATCCCCATACATTTATGGCCGTCCCTTCCGGACATACACATATGAACCTACAGGCATCCAGCGGGGGCTATACTCAGTCCGGGGAACAGGCGACATCTTATAAATATCTCCAGCATCGGCCAAGCCAGGGGTAAGCCATCTATCGCCATGGTACTATCGTGAGAAATATTCATGTCTTGCTAACCATCACTCTAGGAACTGTCAAGACACCATACAATGCCACTGGAAGAACTGCAGCCACAGGCACCGATTGACATTTTCTGACAAAAAATCGCTGATGGGCCATGTCAAACTGGATCATATCAACCCACAATGTCATGGATATCAGGAGTAAGACCGCCAAGTTTTAACAAATCGCCTCTCCCCGGCAGTTTCAATAGGTTGGAAACTGATGAACCGTCGTAATGTGGTTCCTCAAGTTGTCCCTGCGGTTGGAAGGACGGCCACAAAGAGGACAAGAGAACGCGCCCTTCTCGATGTGGAGCGTTTTGACATGGCGCACCATTGATGTCTCTTCACCGATGACAGTAGTGCAGTCCTTCCAGCTGCATTTTCATTTCAATACACCCCCGTGGCTTCTAAAACAGCAGATATGGTATTAGCATGTTTTCGTGTCGGTGAGGCATGGTATTGGTAGGGTTTAGGATGAGGTCTCGAAACTACGTATGTAGTAAATGGATGGGTCGCCATATGCCAGATGCAAGGCGGAATGCGTGGAAACATGATATTTTTCTATTCTCTGTAGACAGTAAGCAAATACCAACGACTATGTTTCTTTGCGACTCCAAGAATTAGGTTGCGATTTGTTTAGTTGGCTTCAGCCTACAATGCAGGGAAGAGGAAGGGGAGAAATGAACAAAAGCCAAGTGGTACGAGGAAGTGGTAGTAGATTCCTTACGGGCTTTAGGGAAATTAAGACACCAGTCACATTGCAATCCGATTATTGATTTCAGCATGTAGCAGGCTCTTGGCTGAGAAAACTGTTGGCGACCATGATCGCCTCGTAGGGAATTACCGCTACAACACACTCACTAGAACAGTCGGCGGCTTTCCGATTCGACAGCCCGATCGGACATCCTAGCGTGCAGACCCGTGATATCATTATTCCTACATATCCAGGCATCATTTACCGGACGGAAATAACGATAGCAAGCAAGGGATGGTAACGGATGACTTGTTCATATCACGAGCGCTGTTAAAAAGAGCGTACGGAGATCTTGCCTGTTGACCTAAGCGAAGCGGCTTGGCTTTGAACCCCGGTGCTTAGGCTGAACCCCGACAGAGGCGAACTCCACAAAATTGATGTATCTAAATACACTATGCTTGGGAAACCTACACGCGTCCACGAAACAATCAGGGACCCAACGCGATCACCGGGATTGTGTTACCAGGCAGTTGCTTCTGGTATGATTCGCCTAGAGAATTGAAATACCCCTAGGGAGATAAGACAAAAAGACTCAAGTGACTAGAAATCCGAATAACCATGACAAGGAGCCTAAAATGATACTCACATCTCACAGGAGTCGACCTCGGCGATCTGACTCGGATGAGGTTTATATAAAGTCACGTGTAATCGGGATAAGGTAATCCCGCGGCAACAATTTTCCCCGAACGAGCATGCCCCGGGTGTACGTTATTTATACATATAGACCATTTCTCCATTTTACAACCCAATGGCAGACTCATCGAGCTCTGCTGCGCCGTCGGGCGCTGGCAAGCCCCAAGCGGCGCCGAAGCCGCCTAACCCAGCGTTCAAAATGATGGGTACGTCTCTGTTCCCCAGATTTTAATGGTCCAAAAAAATGCTAACACCGTTGTGATCAACAGGCCTCCCTAATATGCGATTCAAACTGCCCTCTCGCAACTGGATGATCTTCCTTACTATCACTGGATCATTCACCGGTGCTCTTATATACGATCGTCGGGAGAAGCGTCGCGTGCAACAAAAGTGGTCGGAGCTTGTGGCTCACATTTCTAAGGAAACTCTGCCAGTTGACCAGATGCGCCGTAAAATGACAGTATATTTGGCTGCACCACCGGGAGATGGCCTGCGCGTGGCCCGGGATCACTTCAAGGAATATGTCAAGCCCATCCTGGTGGCCGCGGCGTTGGACTATACGGTGATTGAAGGGCGTCGTGAGGGCGACGTGAGAGCCGGCATGGCGGAAAACATTCGCAAGCAGCGCCGAAAGGCCGGAGAGCCCAGCTCAGCTGTTGAGGAGGTCGGTGTGGAGGCAGTCGTTGCTGCCACCCGGGAACACATTGGGGTCACTGACGAACCGGGCCCCAAGGGTGACTTGGTCATCGGCCGGCACACCTGGAAGGAGTATATCCGGGGCTTGCACGAGGGCTGGCTTGGCCCCTTGGATCCGCCGGCTCCGTCTCCGGAGGAGTTGAAGGAGTTGACCGCGGATACAGTGGAGGACGTCAGTGTGGCCAAACCCGCTGGTCTCTCGAACCCCGAGATTGCGACCATCGATTCCCCCGAGTTCTCTGAAGAGAAGAAAGACGAGATCCCTGAGCCTAAGATCGAGGAACCCGAGAAGGAAGAAAAGAAGAAGGAAGAAGAGAAGCCTTCCAAACCAGCCGGTCCTACTCCTGCATACATCTCCCCCAGCGAATACTCATCCGCCAACCTCCCCCACACTATCCCCCAGTCCTTTGACAGCTCCACCCCAGTCGAATTCCCCCATCTTCTCGGATTCCTGAACACCCCGGTCCGAGTCTACCGCTTCCTCACACAACGTTACCTTGCCGAGGACGTCGGGCGCGAAGTTGCCGCAATTGTCCTCGCGAATAGCGCACGCCCATACCGCGAAGACACCTTCGGCGCAGACAATGAGCCCACTGCCGCCAGCGTCGAACCCACCCCTTCCCTTGACAGCTCGTTCACCGATCTCCCCCCTCGCAACTATGAGCAGCAGACCGTAATGCAGGCTGCTGAAAGTGAGTGGCACAAGTCTGCGCACAAGCGCGAAGAAGGCGAGGAGAAAGAGCGCGAGTGGATTGATGATATGGTGCTTGATCCGCGCATTGCCTCGCGCATGCAGCGCGCTACCCTTGCCCCGGAGGATGAGGCGCGCGCTCAACGCATCGCTGAGAAACAGGAATACATTCTTGGCGAGGAGCGGCCGATTCCCGTGCCTTTCTGGAAGCGCATGTGGATCGATTATGGCTACGGCGAGAGTGATGAGGCCCTGAGACGTAAGCCCATTCTGGGTAACCTTGATGGAGAAGACACACAGTGAAGAGGCCTTCAGACGTTTTCTGCCTGATCTTCACAATTTGAAATTTGGTTGTTTACTATAACGGTTACGGGATGGATTTTCCCCTGGCATTCAACACGGCATGTGTTGGTCTTTTTTGTTTAGCATATTGCGACTCCCTCCTCGGCTTGTATATTAAAGGCGTTTGATGTCCCATTTTAGAAATGTACATTGATGGAAACGGTGTTTTTCAAATTTGGAGTAGATTCTTCTACGTTTAGCACTTGCTTGGTTGGCAATAGATACTGGTACATTGGTTCTCCCAGCACCTGCATACTCATTCCACTTGGCATCGGCCAATACCAGAGTATATTTGCTCTCCCCGTGTCTTTCTCTATGTTTTAAACCTCCTTTTGTTGTCCCAACTCCTGCAACTCTGTTATATTGCTAGGCAGCTAGGCAACTTCTGATCGAAGCGGGGATGGGGCTGGGAGTTCACACGGTCCTCGATTCTAATCAAATCAATTCAGCACAAAGACCGAAGACTCAGGCCACTTCTTGTTCGCCTTCTCGGCGTAAGCAGTCTTATCACTGCCCCACTTGGTCAGAATGTCCAAAGCAATGACAGCCTCGTCGATAGTGATATCGGGGGAATCGAGGGTAGCAAGTAGGTCTTGCTCGCACTGCGACTTAGATTCAGGGTTCAGGAGTTGACGACCAGACAGGCCAGCCTGCACGTGTGCGACACTGCCCTTGTTGGCCGAGAGGTATGACTCGTTCCACTCTTCGAGCTTCTGGGTCTTTGGAAGAAGCTTGTCAAATTCGGCATTGACAACCTCGGCAACCTTCTCAGGAAGAGGCTCGGCAAGGCTCTCGAGAGACTTGCGGAAGCGAAGCAATTGAAGGTGAAGAGTGGGATTGGAGGGATCGATGGAATGGGCGGCCGCAAGGCACTTGACGGCAAGGAGCTGCTTGTCTATAATCGAATTAGCATGAGGGCTCCGTCTTAGAATCTAAAATTAACTCACTCTGTCTGGAGTAGACCTCAAAGCCGACGCATTGGGCTTCGACGTTCTGGGGGCTGCACTCAAGCAACGGTGTCAAGAACTTCATGGCATCCTTCAGAGGGTCCTGAGTCTGGACCAGGGCGTTGCCCAGAGGATCGGAATCTTCCTTCTTGGTCTCTCCATCCGCACTCTTGGCGGTAGCCGCAGCCGCTTTCCTTGCTGCGCGCTTGTCAGACTCGATCTTTTCCAAGCGCTGCTGCTCCTTCTTGGCCTTCTTGAGAGCCTTCTTCCTCTGATTCTCATCGGTAGAATCAATTCCATTGCTTGCGCTGGGCATCGGTCCGTGCACAAGATCCGGCTGGTCGTGGAGAAGTAGATGGGCCTTGACGGCTCCGAGAGCCATTCTTGTGTAGAAGGGGTGCTCACGCAGGCGGTCTTCCCAGCGCACCATGTCCACGTAGGCCCTGATCATTCCCTTGCGGAGAGAGAAGCCGTGGAAGTCGAATTGATCCTCCTGCCAGGTATCAAAGATGTTATAAACCGAGTGGAAGCGCTTCAGGGCAAGACCAATCTTCTTCTGTCGGAGGAACGCCTCGGCATCCTCGGTCAAGAACCAAGTGCACTGCATCTCGTGGAGATCACCCAATGTGCCACCGACAGTCTCGTTGCGAGTGAACTTGCTCATAAGTTCCAGACCCTTCTCGTTATCGTTGTTTCGGAGCACGTATTTGGCCGCCTTGGTGTTGATATGGCGATCCTTCTCATCAAGCATTCGAGCCTTCTCCATCTCTTCTGCTGCCTTCTCTGGGTTTCCGTAGTGCTTCCAGATCCGTGCCTTAGACATCTGATATTCAACAGCCTTGGGTGACAGTTCAATGGCCTTCTCAACGTTCTCCATGGCCTTGGGGAGGTTGCGGCTGAGGTGATAGTTGTAGTGTTGAGCCAGGAAGTAGTATGTGCATGACAAGAACTCGGTGTTGTCCCCATTCGACTCCGCGGAGCCGTTCGATACCTTCTCGGAGAGATATCCTTCGACCAATTCTTGTACCACGTCACGCTTGGCCGGGTCAATGTAAAGCTGCTTGATGTTCACGAATAACGAAGGAACACCCTTCTTCAGCCCGCGCAGCAGATAGGCGTCAGCAGCCTGCTTGAAATCCTCACCTTCTAAGAAATCGAGAGGAATGCGACGAGCAGCATCACAGCGGGGGTTTTTCTCCACCCACCCATCGTATAGAGCCTTCAATGCCTTGTGGTCGCTTTCGGGGATGCCCTTTGCCTTGATCAAGCCATTGTAGTAGATCGAGTTGTCTGGGTTGCGCTCCAGGAGAGCTGCATATGCCGCCTCCGCATCGGCCTTGCGGTCCAGTCGCAAAAGATAATCTGCCTTCATCTCCATGACTGCAAGCACATCAAGGCATCGGTATCCAGCAGCCTCGAGGTGCTCTAGAGCTCTCTCGAGGTTTCCAGTCTCCGCAATGATAGTGTTCTTGTACAAGATGGCCTCCGAGTTCTCCATATCGGCGACATGTGGTATGGCACCCTTCAATGTGTCCTCGTAGGTAGTCAGAACCTTCTCGGCCTCTGCCAAATCTCCGGCCAAATGATGAGCGATCGCGAGCGCTGTCCAATTCTGGCGGAAGCCTGGACGGGTCTGCAGCATCGCACTGCGGCTCCGAATATATCCCTGGTAATCCCGCATCTGCATCTGGAGCAGTGCCAGATCGCGCTGAATAGGTTGCGATTCAGGCTCGAGGCGCAGAGCAAATCGGTATGCTTTGATTGCCTCCTCGTAGTTCTTCTCCTGGCGTAATAGCAACCCGTAGACGTGCCAGGTGATATGCGACTTCATATCATTCTGGAGAGCCTTCTTGGCGAGCGCAAAGGCGTCCTCCAATTGCCCTATCTGGCTCATATTCAGAGCCTTCATGGCTTGTGTGTCGCCATGTTTGGGATTTTTGCGAAGAACCTGGTCTGCTGTCTTGATGCCTGTGAAGTAAAACGTGGTTAGACAGGCCTAGGTAGTTCAAGGTCACTTCAGAGGCCAACCTTTCTTATATTGTTTCATCTCAAAGTGGTGAACCACTTGACGAAACAAGGAATGGTCCTTGGTGCTCAATGTTTCCGGCATTGTGGGCGATGCTGACGTCGAGGGACCTGACTTGTGCGAGTGAGGAATCGATGTGTGCGGGGGACGACTTCTCCGAGTCCGATCTTGGCAGAGCTAATAGGCCGATAAGATAGCAACCATCCAACTTCTTCAGGAGACAGGAGACAGCAGGTAAATGAACTAAAATTGTGGGTTTTAGACAAGGCTAAAATACATAAATTTATTGTCTCTATATTTGTGCTCAAGTATATTTTCATCAAGGCGGTATAGGGTGTGAAATGCATATCTCGTGATGCACACGTGGTTTGTTGTGTACATGTGATGTAACTTCAATGTTCTTTTTGAGTGACTTACGAGGACAGCAAAAAGGTATCGCATTCTTTTCTTTATGCTGAACTTGAAAGGGATGCCCACTTACTCTTAATATCCTATAATCCACCACAGTCTATGGCGTAGGCCACTTCTCTTAAGTAGTATCTCCGGACTATACATCATACCATTCTCTCCCTTTCTATCCAAAATCCAACCCCAATTTGCTCTATTGCAAGCAAAGCAAGGATAAAACAAATAGCAGCAAAAACCATGTCAGGACTGTGTTCAAAAATGTACAATTTGGGGTGAGGCCTCCCCGTTTCTAAAGAAGAGTTGAGTTATACAGTGATTCTAGTGTACTGCAGCACGCCCCTGCCAAAGGACTTATTTCTGATGCGAATGGCGCCAGCTATTCAGAGCTTCTTCCCAAGTAGAAGAGACACTGCATTTTTCTGACACCATACCCCACGTTCGGGCCCGAATGATTTCTTCAATAGTACGCTCGTTGCGAATCAAATTGGCCAATGACTCAGTCCGTGCTTCACGCGGAAAAAAGCGAGCAGAGTAAGGGTCCAGACGTTCATCGACTTCTCGTTCCCGGTCTCGGGCAGATTCTGTTTGCCGGAGAATCAAGTCGGGATCGTCGGGATCCGGACTGGTAGCCACACCAGCGCAGTAAGTGAGAACGTCTGATCTCGTTTGCCATGACGGAAATAGCACATTATCTTTAAAGCTCTGGCAATCTGCTGGGTTGATCTGAGATCTGGACTCGGCTCGTCGCACCGCTGTTGATGATGGGTCAAATCCCTCCTGGGCTGGTGTAATCAACGCGTTTAAGTTCTGTGTAATCGAGTCATCGATGGTAGATCGTGAGAGTCGGAGAAAGTCTGAGCAAAAATAGGAAAGTCAATATAAGCTGGCATCAAGACGTCACATTCCAAACGCACCTCTCAGTAGTCTCTCGTCAAAACAGAACCGAGGCGTCAGCGCCGGAGCGGCTGTGGATGAGGCCTGTGACATCCTCCCACGAATTTCCTCCCCAGCTTCTCGATTCGACTTGATCCAGAACCACTCCAGTTTGTAGTGAGGAAGTGTGTAACGTTATTAATGGAAGTCGTCCAACGGTGTTGTATAGCGTAGCGTTGGTAGTGTTATATTGAACTAGATTTCACTGAAACCCAGTATTATCTGCTATGAGCACGAGTAACGAACTGATAGTTGTTGGTAACATTCATGAATAGTCCGAGCAAGCTCTCCGTGGACCATTGTCGTCATGCCGTAATCAGCCTTAAGCTCCGGGCTGTTTTGGGACTAGCTCATTCAATTATATTCACGTGACAGCGCGTCCTCGCGTCTTAGGAGCATCGCGTTCCTGCTTATGCCAGATCGTCTTTCGGAGAAAAAGCAGTTGTATATACCCTCGAATTCATTTATTGCATGTTTTTAACATTCATACTTGAAATATCATACCAACATGCCCGAGCTAGCTGAGATTCACCGCATTGTGCATTTCATTCGTGAGCACCTGGTTGGGAAAACGCTGGCCAAAGTACAAGCACAACATGATGATATCATATTTGGCAAAGTTGGCACCAGTGCTGCCGAATTTCAAAAGGCAATGCAAGGGAAGAAGGTCGTGGGAGCCGGCCAACAAGGGAAATATTTCTGGATCACAATGTCTTCACCACCACATGCTGTGATGCACTTTGGGATGGCTGGTTGGTTGAAGATCAAGGATGCCGACACATACTACTACCGAACCGATAAGCCTGCAGATCAGGAGTGGCCCCCCAAATATTGGAAGTTTCTGCTGGAGACAAGTGACGACCCGAAAACAGAGGCAGCATTTGTGGATGCCCGCAGGCTTGGTCGCATTAGACTGGTGGATTGTCCCGCTGATGAGATCCGAAATCATACTCCGCTCAAGGAAAATGGGCCTGATCCAGTCACCGATAAAGACACTGTGAATGAAGCATGGCTGACAGAGAAGCTGGGAAAGAAGAAAGTCCCGATCAAGGCTCTTCTTCTCGACCAGGCGAATATCAGTGGAATCGGAAATTGGATGGGGTACGTCTTCCAGTCAATCGTGACCCATTAAATATACAGAGGCTGATTATTTCTTAGCGATGAGATTCTCTATCATGCCAAGATACACCCAGAACAATACAGCAACACTTTGAATGCCGATCAGATCAAGGCATTACACTCTGCCATTCATTATGTCTGCTCCACATCTATTGGTGTACTGGCAGACTCAGAGAAATTTCCCGAGCACTGGCTTTTCAAGCACCGCTGGGGCAAGGGGAAGAAGAACCAGCCCACCGCCTTACCTAATGGGGATAAGATCACATTCCTTACTGTTGGAGGTCGAACAAGTGCCGTTGTTCCAGCTGTCCAGAAGAAGACTGGTCCTGTCGCCAAGGAAATTGACGAAAACGTTGCAAAATCCACACCAGCTAATTCGAAACGGAAACGAGCGGCTCTAAAGAAAGAAACCGACTCTGAAGCGGAAGAAACGACAGAGACAAAGAAGCGAGAGGCTCCAAAACAGAAGAAACCCACTGTAAAGAGTGAGTACTTTGAAGAGGAAAAGGCGAGGCCTGCTGTTGTTGGCAGAAGACGATCTACCCGTACATCTAAGTGAGGTGTATATGAAACCCATGTACTAGCGACTGCAATCGTTCTGTATTTTCTATTCTCAGCAGTCTCCTGAAATAAAATTGACCTGTCTTGAGTAAAAAGCAATATTATATCACTGACTAGCCCTACCTACATGGGATCGATGTAGTGTTTATTTTTAGTAACTTACAACTAATGAATTTAGGCAACTCATTGCAATAAGGGAGGAAACATAAAGGAGGCAGTATATGAGAAAGTCAAAGGTTAGTTATACATGGACGAGTCGTTTTGCACATTTTAAGCCGTTTTTATTGCCTATTTTCTATATATTTTCGGGTAGGTCTTCTTCTCCTTATAACAGTAGCAATAAGAAGGGAAGAAAGATCTATAAGTTATATCTGAGGAAATATCCGCTAAGACCACTGGAAAGGCTACCAAAAAGACCTAACAAGGCCGCATAAGCGGGCAACTATTTGTCTATGTAAATTAAACAAGTAGCAGTGATTGGATTTTACCATGCTACTCCCATCGGACTTGGGGTGGCATTTGTTTCACTGGCAGGTCGGTCCTATCCTGAAGAAATCTCAAGATATCCTCGATCTCGTCCTCCACGCGATACCAATGCCCCAGTCCCTCATATGCCTTCCAAGTTACATCCATCCCAAAACCGGCTGAAAGAACATGAGACATATTTCTGCCTAATTCCACAGAAACCTTTGGGTCTTCGGAGCCATGGCTAATAAAGACGGGCATTTGGAGATGATGGAAGCTTGATTGTGGTTGCGCTTGCTCTGTTGAGATCATTGGAAGATCAAGAATATCCCGAACATGGCCGATAGCGTGGCCAAGCAGCGAGGGTTCTTCCTCGTCGTCAGCAAAGGGATCGAAATCATCATGCAAAGGGCTGCTTCTTCTAAATGGATTTTCATCCAAGTCAGGATCCAAGAAGGCATCTGGATCTGCGTCTGACTCATCATCGATGTTGGACTGTTGCCTGGCCGCCTCTTCATCGTCTGAGTCTGAATCTGAGTCTGAGGTATCATCGTATGAAGTCTCCTTGCCTTATCTAGTGGACGCAGGAATCTCACCGCATCGGAGAATTTCGTGCAACTGCTGCTCAAAAGGCAGCCATCCACTCATCCCAACAAATGCTCCAATCGTGCTTGCTTCACTGGCGTCGAGCCAGCCACCTAGCAGAGTGAATACACCTGCAGCACAGCCTTGACTTAATCCCCATAGGATGATCTTTCGATGGCTACCCGCACCCAAGATGTGAACCTCTTCGCTAATTAAACCACGAATAAATTCGGCAGTCTCACAGAGACCTTCGACTTGTAAGTCTGTCCTCTCTCCCGGATCCTCAATTGAGTAGTTGTCAAACCATTGATTGATGGCCATCTTTTTGAACCTCGTTGCCCGCCGCTTACTTGCAGTTGGAAAGATAAATTTCACTGTGGGAAGTCGAGCTTGCAGGTTCGCAGCGGCAAGAAGTACATGACCGAAGCGTTTAGCATTACTGCCTTTTCCATGGAGCGAAATTATAGTGTGTGTATGCTCTTCCAGCGGTGGGATGACTAGAGGGGTGGGGTATGCATTTGGCATTTTGGTGGACATTGAGGGAGAAACAGAGAGAGATGAAAATTTGGATGGACAAAATTAATGCACGGTGCTAGAAACTTTCAGTTATTTCTAAATGCCAAGGATCGGCGAAATTTCATTGTTATTTTCGATATTTTTGTACGAATAGTCATCCATGCAGGCCCAGGGGGTAATCGAATAGACCACAAGCGTGCAGATCAGAGCACCCATCAATGACTATATACTCACTTCAATCCCAGACAAAGGGCTTTATACTAGTTCTTGGAGATAGCGAAACATAACTAAAAGCTATATATATCAACCCAATTATTGACGTTTATAGTCATCTCAATCCCAGACAATGGGCTTTATATCCCATAGTTCTATTATTCGCCCACAAAGAGTATTTGTCTATGATTGTATGCGAAGGGATAGAATCAATTAAGAGACAGATATATAAAGTGTCTAGGAGGCCCCAGCCTTTAAAATATATTAGTCTCAAGTCTCATTCGAATACCAATCAACAAGCCTACCATTGAATCATTGCCATCCCACTTTCCGAAGAAGCTCGATCGTTTTTGACAACCCAGATTATCAATTCGTCGGAGATGGCTGACTATTGGAACGTCTATGTTGCATTCTGCCAACGGAGAGGTAAGGACCCTTTGCATTGGATGCTTTTGCTTGCTAACCATGGATCGCTGCATTGTACATGGTACCATGTCGTCGGAGGTCCGACACAGAATCGGGACTACAAGCGCAAGATTGAAGCCGGGAAGAGAATCGACAGTTTCGGTATATCGAAGAAGCAATACATCGGTCAAATTTCCGGAGATGATATCAACAAAGTCAAGTCAGCGGTAGTAGCAGTCCCTGTTCAGGAATGTCAACGCTGGATGGTAGAAGTGCTTGCCGGTCTTGAACGCAAATGCCTGATTCCTTTTGGTACCAGCAAGGATTATTGTAATCAGATGGAAGAGCCTTCTCCTACTGGAGAAATCAATGATGACTGGGTCTTGCTCTCCGGAACCTTTGAAGAGGAACTGATCATTGAGTAAACTAGTAGCGGCTAGGTGCACCCGACCAGCAGATGGTTGGGAGTGAGGATGAGGATTTCCTGATAATTGGAAATTCTGAAGGTATGTTGCATATTCCCTTTACCAATGCCGTTACTGTTCTTTTTCCTGCATATGTGAGTCCATTGCTTGTTTCCCTTTTACATGTTTCTTCACCACTCTCTTTTCCATCTCTACACATTTGTGCTTTCATGCTCAGTCTTGGTCAACCTTTTATTTGGGTTTTATAGCTCCGCGTTTGTTGATAATGCAAGTCTATTCTTAGGTCGATCTCAAATAATTCATAGGAGATCTAGACGTAAATTCTCATTAACCACCTTATCACATATCTCTCCTAGATAGTGCAGGTGGGCAAGGACGAGTAAGGGAGGCGCCTGTCCGTGTTCCGGTATAGTAACAAAGGTCCTGGTGAAACCATGTGAAAGGACTAGTTCATGGTACCAATTAGTAAAGAGTACCAGGAAAAGAATGGGATGACGATGGATGAAGAGAACAGATAATAGTTGTTATAATAGTGAAGCATGGTGGTTAGGTTAAACACACTTGAAAGCAATGGCGGACAGAAGTACATGTCAAAAGAACGCCTATAAACCCTTTGAGACGGCCCTGGGGTGTATTAGGGCAAGGAACCGGAATAAACCTATGTATTATCAAATGAAACTATGAGAAAGCCTGCATTATGTATATAGCTATCTACACTGTGGGGTCTGACCCCCTTCACGGGGCCACTTTTTCAACACACAACTTGATTTAAAGATTCTAGTATAATTTGCGCCTGCCTCAAAAGTCCCACACCTTTCCCAAGTGGGAAACGCCAATGAAGAGAAATGAAATTGTCTTGGAAGACTTATCCCATGTTCAAACCATCCAATGTCCCTTTGAAGATTGCGAGATTTTTCTCATGGGGTGCATCTCTAATTACAAAATAAATCTGCTCAAACCATCCCCTGAACTCGCGTTTCATGAGAACCTCTTTCCAGCAATCGGCCACCACCTGGGGGGGATGGTGAAAGGCCCCACAGCCAAGGGCGCCGAGGACCAGGCGGCGGTGATTGTTGACTGCTGCTGTGCGTAGAATCAATCGCATCTTGCCTTTCATGAGATACCGTTGTCCCGGGTCCCTGTAGGCGGATTTGTCGGCGGTCAACTTGGGCTTGTCTCTCGCTGCCATGCTAATAACACTAACAGCGGGGTTCAAATGTAGCTCGTCGTCCTCTGACATAAAGGTATACCCTTTTTCCACACTCTCTCGGAAAACGATCACTTTGGGTGAATAAAGACACTCCAGATCTGTCATTGGGTAGAAGTGGGAGTGGAGAGACTCAATGAGTGTGCTTCGATAGCAAAGCTGTTCCTCCTGGGCTCGAGAACCACTAAGCCAGCCCCCACCAGGGTGAAAAGCATTGGCAAAGTTAAGAACGCATACTGGCATGAAATCGCTGGTGTTGCCAGCATCTTGCATGTCGAGAGCCTGGTCATATGTGTCTCCTGGCACGACCTTAACCACAGTGGTGAGGTTTGGAAACTCCACGAGATCAGGATCCAGGGAAGGAGCGGTCCATTTGCTCGCCACATAACTAAACCGAGTTCCCTCCAATTCCGTTTTGGACAAAATTTCTTCCGTGGCTTCCTTTGTTGTTTTGATCACATTCTGCATCGAAACGGGTGCTGAGGGCTTGGTGACTCCACCACCCCTGCTTCCAAGAGCAGTAGAGTGCCGTTTCTTAGGTAGGGGAGGAGGTTTTTTGGTGGGTTGCTTCTTTACCTCGGGTGCCTTGCGAAGATCGGTTTTCCTCTCACGCTCATCAGGACTCGATGCACCGTCAAGACCACCTATTTGTCTGCCGTTGGAGCCGGATGAGAATTTCTCATAAATGGTACTCATCATTCTAGTGAGGCCACCACTGCTGCGGCTGTTGGCGCTTATGGTGGGTGATTGGTTCGCGTACTGGGAATCTAATAATTGTGACTGTGTCGATGCAGAGGTATCGGACTGGACGGGCTTCTGTTTAGGCATGGCTCTCTTTTTGTACTAAGCGCAGTCGATATGCGGAAGACGCAGTAGAGAAGTTGCTAATTTGATGAAGACGAGGGTTCCAGGGACTTTTTATGGCCCATATTTACTCGTCAATTGACTAAATGTAAGACAGTACAGTTACCTACATACGACTTGAAAGTATAAGAGAGAACAAAGACTCGAGACTCTAACAGTGGGAAGTCGAAGTTGAAAGAAACATCAAATAGGTCACGTGCATAGTTCTGAACTGACCAATAAGAGAAAATGCAGCCCGCATAAGGCGGTGAGCTTATCTCCGATCTCGCCACCATGACAAAGCGTGCAACGCCGTTGGCTTGTCGCCTTCTTACAGAACTATTTTAATCCTCCAAGGTTTCGAAGTCTTTATTCTGATTATTCGCAATCCAATCAGCCAAATATAGGCCATTTCTTTCACTTCATCCACGGCCGCCCAAAGCAGTTCCTGCCACAATGAGCGCGATCCTGTCAGCAGACGATCTGAATGATTTCATTTCGCCGGGGGTCGCGTGTATCAAACCAGTTGAAACTCTTCCACAGAAAGATACAAAGAATCAAGAAGTATGTTCGCTTATTGAGCTCGCTGGGACTGTGTGATACTAGAGTTTCTTTTACTGATTTTCTAATTATAGGGCGCATATGAAGTAACAACGGAAGACAAAGTTGAGCCCGAGGATCTACCCCCCGCACAGATTTCTTTGACAGACTGCCTCGCTTGCTCTGGCTGTGTTACATCTGCCGAAGCAGTGTTGATATCACTCCAGTCTCACGCCGAGGTCCTCAATACACTTGATGCCCATCCGGAGATTCCCTTGACGCATGGGCATCATGGGGTGGTAGTCAATAAAGCTGAAGACTCTGGGGAGGGTAGGATCTTCGTGGCCAGTGTCAGCCCGCAAGTCAGGGCAAGCTTGGCAACAACCTATGGGATCTCAGAGCTAGAAGCAGGGTACATGATCAACCAATTACTTTGTGGTCCGCAGGGCTTGCGAAGTGGGGGTAAACACGGCAATGGATTTACATGGGTTGTCGATACCAATGCCATGCGAGAGGCTGTGCTAGTACTCACCGCAGACGAGGTTTCGGACTCTCTCAATTCAGAGGACTCGTCAACAGCGGGCCAGTCGAATGACTCTCTCCCCAAACGACCCATTTTATCCTCAGCATGTCCTGGATGGATTTGTTACGCGGAGAAGACGCACCCTTTTATCCTTCCACACCTTTCTCGACTCAAGTCCCCGCAGGCTCTGTCGGGGACGTTCCTCAAAACCGTTTTAAGCAAGTCTCTCGGGATCCATCCTTCTCGGATTTGGCATTTGGCAGTCATGCCCTGCTTTGACAAGAAGCTAGAAGCTAGTCGAGAAGAACTCACAGATGTGTCGTGGCGACAGGGAGATTCCACGAGCTCTGAGACACAGCCTGTTCGCGACGTGGACTGTGTTATCACTGCTCGTGAAATTCTCTCTCTGGCTTCGTCTCGAGGATTCTCACTACCAACGCTGCCTTTGCAACCTCTGCCTTCGTCTTTCACCCCACCCTTCCCTGAAAAAACCCTCGATTCTTTCCTTTCCTTTAAGCGCTCTCGGGCGGAACAATCTCTTGCCACAGGTACCTCTGGAGGCTACCTACATCACGTTCTCACAAATTTCCAAGCTCGCAACCCTGGCAGCGAACTTGTGATCAACCGCGGACGCAATGCCGATGTCGTCGAATATGTGCTCATGTCTCAAGAGCGCCAACCCATTCTGAAAGCAGCTCGCTATTATGGTTTCCGAAATATCCAAAACCTTGTCCGGAAGCTCAAGCCCGCGCGTGTATCGAGGCTTCCCGGCGCAAAGCCAGCCGCCAGACCCGCCGCAGGTCGGCGCCAGCCTATATCTCGTAATGCCGTGTCCACAAGCAGCTCAGGATCAGACTACGCATACGTGGAGGTCATGGCCTGTCCTGGTGGGTGCACGAATGGCGGTGGCCAGATCCGAGTCGAGGACGCCAGAGAAGCCCTTGGCCCTTCCCAAGGAGAGGCACTAGATGCATCTATGAAGCCATCCCCACATGAGCAGCGCGCGTGGCTTTCTCGCGTCGATGAGGCTTATTTCTCCATGGAATCTGAGTCCGAGTCTGAACTGGAGACTCAGTCTCAGCTGTTTTCATTGGCTGACAAGGAAGCTAAAATTCATGAACGCTTGCAGCGCTGGTCAGAATACATGGACATCCCACTCTCTAAGCTCGTTTACACTACCTACCGCAAGGTCGAAAGTGATGTTGGCAAGGATCAAACACCGGCTAATGATACGAGTCGGGTTGTGGAGCTTGCGGGGAAGATTGGTGGTGGCTGGTAACTTCTGTCTACTTCACTTCGCTGCTGCGAGATCCGTCCTTGGGGTGGTCTTCTTCGTGGTCTCTTATTTACTTCATTTGCATGGCGCCGGGATTGATTTTTCTTGCACGTTTCTGGGGGATATACCACATTTTCATTTTTGAAGTCACAGTCGATGATACATGAGGTGCTGGATTTTTTCAAGCTTATGACATGGTAGATGCATAGAAAAAAGGGTTAAATACCTTCTGATACGATCAATGATATTAACGACGCTATCAAAACATAGATACAATCAAAGAAATTCCTAAATTTCATACAAAATCAAAGGACTTTTTATACTTCCAGATCGGGCCTGGCCGTGATGACTAATCTGTAAAATGCGTCAACTGGTGACTAAGCACCTAAAATCCCGCGTTCCAGAAAGAAAAAGAATTGAAGTATTTCAGCATAGACACTAGTTTCCACCTCACAACTCTCATCCTCCCACCGGACACGATCAACTCTCGCGCGCAACAAGCCCTTTACCTCCACACCACTCTTACACCCAAACGATGTCTCGCGAAGCCTACCAGGTCCCCTCGACGGGCGCTCAGAACAACTTCGACACCCAAGGCGGAGGTTTCGGCAATGCCATGGCCATCGACAGCCCCTCGGTCACCTACCTGTGTGGCGAGTGCTCTGCCCGTGTTCCCCTGAAGCGTGGCGACCAGATCCGCTGCAAGGACTGCGGTCACCGTGTGCTGTACAAGGAGCGGACCAAGCGGTAAGATTTTCTTTCCTGGGTATCATCATGCGATATGCGCAAGACATGGGCTGACTTTTTCTTTCTTTCTTCTCAATAGTATGGTCCAGTTCCAGGCTCGGTAAATCTCTCATCTCCCAAACATGAATCAGACGTTCGGAGATTGCGATGGCTCAGGTGGAATTGGCCTGAGTTCCTTTGGGTTTGAAGTCTTTATTTTTTGACGAATTATGCATACAATGGCGCTTTGGGGTTGAATTACACAAACCAGTTTTCCTATGGTCTCAGTCTACAAGACCCATATACGATGTTTTCGCCATGTCTAGTCCTAGTCCAAGTCTGGACCTGTGAGGAGGGCAGGCTTCCACCTTTTTTCTTAGGACCAATTATATTTGCTTTCGAAGAATGAAAGGAATGTTGGACTCAAGTACCCGAAATATTCATTCGTACATCAGTGCACTTAGTGTGCCTATCAGAACAGGTGAACCCATACATAACTCAATCCGAAAGTTCCTTAAACCCGAAATGGCCATAACATACTAAACCCAGGCCTACAAAACTAAATATTCTACTTTAAAGCTGATTAGTTACTTCGATGAATTGCTCCAAGTTCTTCAGAGACTGCCCGCTCTCGATTGCCCAGCGTGCGCGACGCACGCCTTCCTTCCAGCGGCCGCCGCCAGGGCCACGTTCGGTGATGACCTGTCCATCATCACCCGGTCCCATGTTGCTAGTATCAGCCTCGCAAATGCCCGAGGTGACAAGTAGACCGGCCACATTCATGAGAACAAACTCCAAGATGGGGTCATCCCGTGGAAGCTCATTCCGAAGTATGCTCATCAGCTTTGCTGCGTTTTGCTTAGGCATTTTACCTCCGCCAACCTCACTGAGGGGGTGACTAGAGAGGCCAAAGTCCGATGGCTGGAGCTGGAAGGTGTCGAGTTTGACGAGTGTGCGGGGATTTTCGTCGTCTTCACTGGAGTCATCTGCATCATCTTCTGGGGCGTTGTATGCAGGGTTCGGGTACTCAGAGAGCCTCCAGCAGTTTGTCTTTCCAGCGCAGCTGATTTCGTCCATGTCCTCTGCGCCACAAACAATCATGGCTTTCTTCGCTCCACTTTGTCTGAACGCCTCGGCAAATACCGGACCAAGGCTCTGGTATGCTACACCAACTACACGTGCTTCCAGTGCCCAGTCAACGGGGTTTGCCAAAGGGCCCATCAGGTTGAAGATCGTTCGGAGGCCGAGACCCCTGCGGACAGGGTTGGAATGCATCATTCCTGGATGGAAGTTCGGAGCAAACAAGAATGAATAGTTGGTTTTCTCGTAGACCTGGGCCAGATTCTCGGCGGTGATGGCTGAGATTTTGGGGGGCACTGGCTGGATGGCATTGAGGACGTCGGCGGCCCCAGAGGTCGATGTTTGAGCGCGGTTGCCATGTTTAGCAGTCAGGAGAAGAGGAGATGCGACAATTGAGGAGGTTGTGGAAATGTTAAAGGTCGAATGAGAGTCTCCTCCAGTTCCAACAATATCACACTATATTGTGCCCTGTCAATAAATATAACTCAACGACAAAATGGAGGGGGTCTGCATACCAATCCACCGTGATAATTTCCTGCTTTCAGACTACGAGACTTGATAATCTTCGTAAGCGGACCTCTCTCAACTTGGCAAGCAGCATCTCGCATGCATTGAGAACATTTCGCAATCACATCTGGCTGTCTATCCTTGCCGGTTGAGTGGAGCAATGTGAGGAGGGCGGCGGTCTGAATATGAGATAGGCGGTCCTCAAAGATTAGTGCAAAGGCAGAAGCAATCTCCTCTGCACTCACGGCGGGGAGATCCTGTGCGCTGACTCGGATGCCAGCAGCCGCGGGGTAGGCGAGTCGCTGGAGGAGCGGGGCGATTGAAATGGGCTCAGGCCGCTGAGAAGGGGAGGATATAGATGTTGCCATAATTAAAATATTTGTAAGACACTGTATGTTCACAATAGCCCGGCAATCCCAATGAGGTTTCACAAGCTTGAAAATATACTTGTAATATCATAACATGCCAAGTGACTCAATAAGAACTATATAGCCGGCAGAAATACCCCACCGCCTTGAATGCGCTTTACCCTTTTAGGACCCAAAAAATATCACGCTTTGCATATTTCCCGGGGGCTATCTTGACTTGTCTTGACCTGGAATATCACCTTGAATTATTTGGGCATTGGTAAATTCACCACCTAAATCAAATATTCACAATGCCTCCTCGGTTAAGAATCTCGTCGCTTCAACAAATCCCTCGATGCCATTATGAACTCCGAATTACCAGGAGCGCATCCAGTGCTGCGGCCCCGGCAATCACGCCAGCTGCTTCAATTGAGCAGATGACACGCTCACCAGCCCCGGTATCAAGATTCCCTCCTACCCAGCCACCCTCGCACCGCAATCCCGAATACCGCCGGTCGCAGCTCCTACGGTCATACACCTCCCTTCTCCGCACGTCTCCTCTCATCGTGCTGTTCCAACACAACAACCTCAAGTCCATGGAATGGGCCGCCATCCGACGAGAATTAACCATCGCTCTGCAAAAAGTGGATGAGAAGATTGCTGCCGAAGGTCGGACAGCGCCTGCTCTCGCTCCTTACATTAAGATCCAGACCATCCAGACCAGCATCTTCGAGGTAGCTCTGCGCATTGTCGAGTATTTCCGCCCCAGCGAGGCTTCCCTGGGCTCAGGAAAACCCCCAAGTGCAATTGATCCCGTGACACAAACCTCCGCCGAGATCCCTGCGATCTCCGGCTCGAAGGATGACCCGTCTTTGACACACGACTTGTCTCGCACTGCCCACGCCGCAGTGAAGAACATGAAGGGCATGCACGAGCTTTCTCCTCTGCTCGTCGGCCCTGTTGCTGTACTTTCCATCCCTACCGTCTCGCCTGAACATATGAAGGCCGCGTTGTCAATCCTCGCCCCCAAGGAATCCGGCTTCAAGGCCCCTACTCGCAAGGGAAACCCGGAATACTACGAGCCCATCGTTCAGAACGGTCTCAGCAAGATTAACTTGTTGGCTGCTCGTGTGGACAACCAGGTGTTCGATATCAATCAGACCAAGTGGGTCGGCAGTATCGAGGGTGGCATGGACGGTCTCCGCTCCCAGCTTGTCACGGCCTTGCAGAGCATGAGCTCCAGCGTTGCAACTACTCTGGAGGGAGCTGGCAAGAGCATCTACTTCACTTTGGAGAGCCGCCGGAGTGTGTTGGAAGAAGAGGAGAAGGGACCCGAGGGCGACAAGAGCGAATCGTCCTAATCCTGGTCATGGTCATTCTGATTCATTTTCCTGTATAATAGATCATATTCTGCGTTTCATCCTCAAGACCCCGACTTCCTACCTCAGGAACAATGTATACTTGCAAGAAATCAACTTTGGTGCATCATATTTTTTTATTTAACCTATGAATCATTGTGTTCCCTGTATATGTGAAGCAAAATACAGACCGCGCCTAAAAGACAAGTTTCCTCCCGATGTATATTCACTATTTCCGTCGTCTACTTCTGTCTCATGCGCAGTTTGGCATTCATGCCCACAATGCAGCGCACAAGATCCCAATCTCCATTCAAACCAACCCAGTCCGTAACGAGGATACCCGTCGAGCAATCCGCATCATGCTCTTTACCTCGGCGACAGATATAATCCACAACAGCCGGGTTAACCTTAGCAGCAACCTTCTCGGGCCAAGTGTCCGTCTTCCAGAAGTTACTAGCACTCAAGAAATTGACGTAAAAGGGGAAAGCCTTGGTCGCATGCATATCAGCCTGAACACCAAACGGATAGCGACAACAGCTAGCCCGATCAATCTGCTCCGAGACGAACTTTATCTTCTTTTCGATATTCATACTCTCCAGCACCTCATAGAAATCCTGAATGCAGAGCTGGCCACTGGGACACTTAGCATTGGGAGTGTTATCCGCCCACGCAGCAGCATCAATGCCCCAACCATTCCCACCATGCTCGCCCTTCAGCTTCTGCTGCAAGTTAAAACGGCGCATAAGAATAACCTTGCCACGCGCCTCGCCCAGAGTCGGGATCTTGGGCCGCACCCACCACCGACTACCCGCCTTGGCGTAGTGGTCGTGCAGGATCCGCGAGAGTTGCTCGTCAGTCGCGTTACCGGTACCCTCCCGCTTAACGGAGACGATCAGCGTCTCGGACGGGTTGCGCTCGAGGAACTCGTTGACTTCATGCATCAGGTCGCGGAAGTACTTGTTTCCCGTCAGCGAGACGGGGAACACGCTGTGTACGAGGATCAGCTCGTCGCGCGCTGCGTCGTCGGGGTACTGTGGCTGCACGCGGATATCGAAGAACCGCACGCCGTTCTCGAGCTGCTCTTTCGGACTGACGGCCTGGCAGCGCACCGAGGGCGGCGCGATGTGACATGTGGGCGAGTTGTGCGTGCCTGGGATTGAGAGGGCGGAGAGGAGGGTGTCGTCGCGGAGCTCGCCCATCCAGGCGTTCAGGTGTGCGGAGGAGAAGATTGTTAGGAAGGATGCTGGGACCACGAAAATGCCAGTGAAGCGGTGTTTGGGATGTTCGCTTAGTGCTTTCATTGTTGCGGACTCTACTGTTGGGACAGGGGCTTGGATCTGGTATTTCTGGCCTTCGGCCTCGAAGATTAGACGCATGCGCTCCTTGTCGGAGTGGATGAAGGAGCGTAGGTCAGTCTTCTTCGTTGCGAATGGCTCCACGTGAATGTCAACATTCTTTTCCTCGAAGTGAGGGCTGTCCTGTTCGATGGCAGAGACGGTGTCATTGCGGGTTTGGTTGGTCAAGACCTGGGTGAGGTTTCTGGCCATTGTGCTGAAGGCATGGAACCCATCCTTCTCCGGTGCCTCGAAGCGCTCAATGCGCTTCAGGACGATTGGAGTGGAAGTGTTATTGCGGATAGTGAGGTATTCGGCAACCATGGTGAATTAGCAATTTGGAGAATTCGTCTTGAAATCAGCGCAAGTCCCTGACGGGTTTGTCTCAATTGAAACTGGCTGCCTGGAGAACTGAGATCGAAGTGGGTTACCCCTCCACTGGGGATCAGCGGACGATCTCCGATAGGGGGTGCCCTTGTTCTTGGCACATAAATCTGATTCGTGAGGATATTTCGGTTGTAAGACAGAGCGGAGAATTTTTTAAGATCTGTATGGAGTTTGCACCATGTAGGACATTGGTGTGGCACCTAGCTCCTGAAGATCTGGGCCTAAAATCCTCATTCCACTTGCATATTATGCACGGCATTTGTTTTGGCTAGATCCATCATATCTGGGCATCTTATAAAAGGGAAACCTGGAAGTTCAATGCTCTGTTCTCCACATTGCAAGGTTGAGGTCGACTTGAGTCACTTAACCTTGGTTCAGTCGATACTTACCATGGATATACACCATCCCAGGTTATATATAAAAAAAAGTTTCCCGCTTTGTTTCCGTTTACCTATAAAAACTAAGAGGGAGAAAATATTTGAATAGACCACCCGGAGGCGGCCGACTATTCTTGTTACTACATACATTTATTTATCGAACCATTGGAGGTCCCTGATTTGCCTGGTTAGAGAATCTGTCAATCCAAAGGGAGCACCCCTTTAATAGGGAACCTGTTGATGGAAGTAGTCCATGATAAACTCCACCTGCTTTGGCTTCGCAATGGGCACATCTTTGAACTGATTACCGAGTTCCATGACAATCTGAGTACCATCGGCACTGTTGGGACTCCAACGCGGTAACGATTTGCTACCCTTGTAGGAGCCACCATTGTTGGGGTTGAGGGTCTTCGCAAAGTTGGCCCAGTAGGACGACATCTTCTCCTGGATCTCAAAGTCGATCTTGGTAAAAGCGTACGTATCGGAATTGGCGTAGAGAGCACCAAGCGCATACATGATCTCAGATTGATGGAAGGCACCCTGATCCTGGCTCGGGGGCGCATGGGTCCAGTAGTAAGTATAGAAGTTTGCAGTGGCAGACTTGTACCAGTCAGTGGCGTAGGCCCACGAGCCGACAAGAGAGAGATCGCGAGCAGCAGCGTTCCAGGCCTGAGAGGCAATGGTATCGTTGTTCTGGTCGGGGTAGAGCTTGAAGTATTCGCTGGAGAGATTGCCGTACTTGAGTCCGCAGTAGTACTCGTACTCATCAACGGTGTAGTCGGTGCTGGGAGAGGCACCAGATTCGTCCTTGGTATTACCAGTGATCACGGGGACATCGTTGGCAGGGCCATTGATCAAGGTTTCGATGTACTTGGAGGGAAGCACGTAGTCGTCCAGGACAGGCTTGAAGATCAAAGGATAACCGGCAGATAGTGCGGTCACCCACCAAATGGAGCTGTTGGTGACGCGATCTGAGGAACCAACTAGTAGACTCTCCATGGATAGAGTGCGCATCTCCTCAATTGTCGAAACATTGTGGGCCTTGATGTAGCTAGCACTATTGGAGATGGCAGTAGACATGTTGACATACGAGGTGGCGAGGCCAGCCAGCATGGTATCGTAGGGGTATCTAATCCCGGACTGGGAGATACCGCCGTGGAAGTAGCCCGTGAAGAGAGGGCTATTGACCGCATGGTAGACTTGAGAAGAGCCGAAAGACTGACCGGCAACAGTGACACGGTCAGGATCACCACCGAATTTGGCAATGTTCTTCTGCACCCACTTGAGAACCTCCAGTTGATCCAGAACACCATAGTTACCAGAGGTCTTGTGGCCAGTAAGCTTGTAGCCTTCTTCGTTGAGTTCAGGAGCAGCGAGATAGCCGAATGCATCGTCACGTCGGTTGAAGGTGATGAGGATGACATCCTTCAATGCCATGCCACCACCGTACCACCACTCCTGGTTGCTAGTTTCGCCGGAACCCTGGTTCCAAACCATGACAGGAAGTTTGGCATCAACGGTCTCGGCGTTGGTCCAAATGTTGAGACTGAGGCAGTCTTCACTAATATCGGAATATGAGGCACTAGGACAGGCTGGGCCAAAGTCCGTGGCTTTAAACGTCTTGTTCCATGACTCGCGGGGCTGCGGTGCCTTCCACCGGTTCTGATATCCTGTATCGGCAGCGAAAGGAATACCCAAGAAAGCGGCGACGTTGGACTCGGCGCCATCAAAGTACTTATCCAGAGTGGACTGGTTAAAGTACTGGAACCCTTCAACGGGACCGTAGGAGGTTTGAATGACCTTGTCCCAAAGCTGGGCTTGGGCGACAGCAGCACCCAAGGCCAGTGAAGCCAGAGTCTTGGTCAGGAGAGCCATAATGGTTGGATCACCGTGAAAAAGTAGATTGAATTGATTGAATTGATTGAAAGCTTGAAGCACAAGACCAGGAGTTGAGGGGCCGGTGATGTCCTTATACTTTGTAAGCTTCTTCACCGGCGTAATCGACCTACGTACCTAGTAACATCATGTTGGTCTGGTACGCTTGGCACATTTATAGCTTGAAACCGGTTAAATATTCATGCAGCAAATCAAAGGATTATGCAGCAAACATACCTCGTTATCTGATGTCTCGGTGTCTAGTCTAGTGAACTTTGGACCTTGCAGGATCGGCCTCGGTTTCTGCATTGAGTTAGGGTGAAGACGATCAGTTGATATCGTCTCCACCTCTGACACGCGGACACAATTCGGGCAGGTTCCGATATTTTCTTGTTTCTTGCAGAACTAGAGCATATTCTGGCAGTTGAGCACTAAAAATGAGTCCAGTGTCTGTGGCTGGGACTCGAGCCCGGATTCAGGTGACTGACAGGGACAAGTCGAATCTGATAATCACGATGGATACACCCTTGTGTCTCTCGTTCAGGCATGAACTGGAAACTCAACAATTGCATTGCAATCCTATGGTTATCCGAGCTCAATTTTGGGTAGCGTAGTAGCGTCCTGGGTGGAGCTCTGAAAGCTGTGGTACCTGCATGATGATGGGATAAACAACAGTGGACCTCGAGGATCGCATATCCGCATCATTACACCTGCATCGATATATCAAAGTGTCTGACGTGTGAATCACTCTAAAATGGCTGAGAAGGTGCTATCCTTCACTCGTTAGAAAGAGATACTGATAAGATGATGGTCTTATACACTGGTCTATTAGCTTGTCAAGTAAAAAAGAACTCCAAAAAAAAGAAAAAGTGATCCGTACCCCAATTACTCCCAGCGCAGGGTCGAAACCCTCACCAGTTTTACCATTACTGAGCTTCCCAATGCGGTATCACCCGTGCTCACTGTTCCACTCAGCAATCAGATGGCCTTGTGTCTCTCACCCACTCAGCCACCCAGGGAGGATTCTGGCAGACTGTATTGACCTTGAGTCAAATAGACCAAAACCCCATTGTTTGTGCCATATAGATTCTACTCCAATAACCTCCACTGATGATATATGACTGCCCTTTGGGCTCCATTCCATAGTCTGCTTCATCTTATGCTGCCTAGCTGTGTATGTATATAACCTTTGACCTTTTTATTTGCTTGCACTTCCCAATTGACATTTCACAATAGAGCAAAGCAACAAACTATGAATTTGAAAAAAAGATAAAGAAATTATATAACGTTAGTGCCATATAGTTCATCCCCCATACCCGCGATACCTAGGTAGATGCGGGGAGATCACGTGGGTAGCATCGGTTAGCATCGGCGTGCGGGCAGAACAGTTGGCTCGAGGGCCCAAATAAAGTAGACACAATGCTCCTTTTCTCTTTAGGAATTTCAAAAAACATCTTTTGAATCTGTATCTACCACCTTGTTCTCTTTTGATCATGAGTTTCAGCCGCAGCGGTGGAATCACTGCCCGCAACTTCAGGCCTTGTCTACCCCAGAATCGTCTCCGCATTCGCTCCACCCTACCACCACTCTTGTCCCGGAGATTCCATGCCAGCTCTCTACTATGGGGGATCAAGTCACAGGTTCTAAAGGATGTTGGCGAGGGTAATTTATACACAATCTCTAGCTCATTCCTCAATTTGTTCACTTACAATTACTAGGTATAACTGAGGTTCAGATCATTCAATGGTACGTGGAAGAAGGGGCTCATATTGAGGAATGGAAACCTTTGTGCCAATACCAGTCGGATAAGGCTGTTGATGATGTGAGTGATGCTTCCTTTGTTCTCATTTTATGGGTTAATGGCTAACGGACTCAGATTACTTCGAGATACGAGGGCGTTATCAAGAAATTACATTTCGAGACAGATGATACCGTGCCTACAGGAAGGGTGTGTACTACCTTCACTCTTCCCCATCTGGCATCCATGCCGCAATTACCATATTAACAGGCTTCGGTAGGCACTCTGCGACATCGAAGTTGCAGATGGAAAATACCCCGATGATAACCCGCCGCACGAATCAAGGGCAGCGCCGTCTGAACCTACTCCAGCCTCTGAGATCACACCTGCAACTCAAGCAGCCGAGTCATCTCCAATAACTCCTCCTCCTATCAAAGTTCTGGAAGAGAAACCCAAGTCAAAGCATGCATCCCTTGCAGTTCCCGCAGTACGCGGGCTATTGAAGAGCCACGGCGTGAACATCCTCGATATCAACGGAACCGGCAAAGAAGGGCGGGTGATGAAAGAAGATGTACTGAAGTTCGTAGCAGAGAGAGATTCTCCAGCGGTTCCAACATCAGTGCCCACCCCAGTCTCCGGATCACCAGACACACGGCAAGCAGAGTCCATTGTCAACCTGACTCCGATGCAATCACAGATGTTCAAGACAATGACCAAATCCCTGAACATCCCTCACTTCCTCTATGCAGACGAACTCAAAGTCAACGGCATCAGCGCCATCCGCAAGAAGCTCGCCAGCGACAAACGCGATCCTACCAAAATCACATTCCTCCCCTTCGTCGTCAAGGCCGTCTCACAGGCTCTGACCGAGTTCCCAATCCTCAACTCAAAAATCGATACCAGCGACCCCACAAAGCCCAAGCTAGTCATGCGTGCCAAGCACAATATCGGAATTGCTATGGATACGCCGAATGGTCTGATTGTTCCGAACATCAAGGACGTTGCCAACCGCACGATTCTTGATATCGCCGCTGAGGTCGCGCGGCTCAGTGCCCTTGGTCAGAGCGGCAAGTTGACGCCCGCTGATCTCAGTGGTGGCACCATCACCGTCTCGAATATCGGCAATATCGGCGGTACATATGTGGCTCCGGTACTTGTGCCGACCGAGGTGGCTATTCTCGGCGTGGGTAAGACTAGAGCTGTGCCGGTCTTTGATGAGGACGGACAGGTTACACGCGGGGATATGGTTAACTTCAGTTGGAGCGCGGACCACCGTGTCATTGATGGTGCGACAATGGCGAGGATGGGTAACAGGGTTAAGGACCTAGTTGAGTCACCCGAGCTTATGCTTCTAAATCTTAGGTGAATTAGACAACCATTTTGATCAAGTACCCAGTTATATCTAAATCATAGCAATTTTGGATACATTTTAAGACACTGTATATGTACTTGGTTTATCTAGTTTGCTAGCTCCAATATATTACACATTGAGCTTCTTAGTACATAGAAAGAAAAGAAAAAAAAGAAAGAGATGAAAAAGATATAGACAGGTCAATTGATATGAAAATCCACACCGAAACAAAAGGATATAGCGAGGCCTGCCAAGCCAGACAGTCGATGTAAGCTTCCTCAAGAACGCCAGATCTAAAACAGACCGGTGACATAGCCAAGCCGGCCAAAACACCAAACACCATTTGGGAGGAACGAAATCAAGAAACAGAAAAGAAACCAAATGCTAAACAATCCTCCATGCATATATACCCATTTTCGCAACCCACATGGCAATGAGACATCACTTATACTCAGCGAGCTTCTCAGTCACAGCATCAATCACATTGCGCCCCACATCCTCCATCGTACCCTCAACATTGATAGTAATAGCATCCCATTCGCCCTTGGGCTCCTCAAGCGCAGCTAGCTGCGACTGCACCATACTGCTCTTCATGTAGTGTGATTGGCGCTGTGTGACACGCTGCAGCAACACATCCTCGCTGAGCTTGAGGTAGACAAAGTGGATCTGCACCAAGGACGAGCCATATGCAGCGACGCGCATCACATCCCGGTATTTCTGCTTCAGCGCGGAACAGGCTACTACCACACCGGCGGGTGGGTGGAAGTTGTTGGCTTCTGAGGGGGAGAGTGCGTCGATTGCGGCTTGTCGGAGGGAGATCAGCCAGTCCCAGCGGTCTTCGTCTGTGAGTGGGATGCCTTTGCCCATTTTGTCTTTGTTTGCGGCCGGGTGGAACTGGGGGGTTTGTTAGTTGTATGTATATTTGGGGGGTTTCCGGGGTTGGGCGCAATTGGCTGGTTGGGTGCTTGGTGTATTCAGGTACTTGGGGTACTTACATCGTCGCCTTCAAGGAATGGGATGCCTAGCTCAGTGCGTAGGACGTTGCCGACGGTGCTCTTTCCGCATCCTGCTGGACCGGTCACGACCCAGATGTGTTGCATTTGCGCGGGTTTGGAGGGTGAGGATGTCACTCCGTTGGTTCCGTTGGCGGCAAGGTCCGGCATGATGCGCGCCTTGCTCACGGTGGAATCTACTATGGTGGGAGCGTGGGAAGGCTGAGGTCTTTCCCCTGCGGAAAGCATGTTGTAGAGAAAGGAAGGTGTTCGATTTTGGGAGGGAAATGGAGGATTGTTGGATGTTCCAGTATAATAACTTGGGTCAGGGTGGAGGTATGACGCTGCAGTGATACACGGGTGTATAACAGGTAAGATTTATATTTTAGAAAAGCGCGAGCCTACCTTTTCTAAGTACTTATATTGTTACGGTGGGTCGGGTAAAAAGATTCCAGCAGAAGCCGAGTGGGGGGAGAGGACCTTCGTACGGTTATTGGTTTATATTTGGAGTTAGGAGGACTAGTAGATGTTAGGCTGATTTGTTGAATATCTTCTTTTGACTATACCCGAAGGAAATAGCCGTTCAACTAAGATTTATAACTCTCTCTACTTATACTTTGACATATCAACTCTTTATTGACTGCGCACTTCTATAAAATACACATCCATAAAATACTTGCAAATATTGATACACCTCCATGATGTCACGGTATTACCACTAACTCACCCCCACGCTAGCAAGACACCGCCAGTTTGGATCCAAACCTTGGTTGTTTTCCTTTTTGAGTCGAATTTTGAATCCAATACCGTCATTCTTTTATCTTTCACCTGTCCCGTGCCGAACAAAACTCCGAAGTCGACACCGAGAAAGAAACGACCCACATACGAGATTTGCAGATCCACCTTGAAAGATCATACTATACTCCGTACTGATTGCCCTCAATCCCGTGAAACACAGGACAAACGGAGAAGTGAGTTTCATCCGATAGGACACAGGCATGAAAACAGCAGGGAATATGCATGGTGATTCCCTCGCACAGTCACACCGACTGTCCCCGGGTGTGCCTGGTAGGCACTAGACTACGGAGTAATGATTTTCACTTCAAAATCCGGGGAAGACAGGAACTTCCGGCGGGGTAAATAAGTTGGATCCTTGCTTAGACTAGAGCGATTTCTGCTCATTGTTTATGGTCACGAGGGAAGCTGTTGCGGGAAGCGGATTCCGACACATCCGATCTCGTGTTTGTCCGATGTAGTCCAGAGGGCGTGCTGGAGCCTGATCCGTATGGTTAATTTGTATTCGGACGCTTGGAAGACAGCGAAGACGTGCTTCAGCTCCAATCGGTGGGAAATACGGAGGAGCTCCTCCTGTCAGTGGATCTGAGCTGTCTGAAGAGCCCACGGAGTCCAAAGTCGGGTAGTGGTATATCAATATTACCTTTAACGTTAGTTCCAGAAGTCACAAGGAAGCGGACCAAGTGCAAGTGGATCTAAATATGAAAGTGTCAAATATCCTATACAATATATACATATGTTGTAGGTTTATACAGATCTTATGTTCTATGCAACATATCAGTCCATGGGGGCGGGGCGGGGAGGCGGTATTACATAAGCCATCTCCAGGCCACCGCGACAGCTCCAGATCATCCAAGCTCCGACTTATTGGTTCGGGCCTTGATAGCTGCAGCCTCAATTACCTCCACTATGGCTTCGCTCTTCTTCTCTACCCCGGTCGACATCGATGTGGTCCTCGAAGACCTCGATGAGCGCCAGACCGTTGACGTCAAGCTCGACAAGGGCCGCCGCGAGCGGGTCCCTCTGTACATGGACGGCGAGTCCGTCAAGGGTGCCGTGACCATCAGACCGAAGGATGGCAAGCGACTGGAACACACGGGGATCAAGGTGCAATTTATTGGCACAATTGGTGCGTCGGACCTGCTACCTAGCCTCTCCCAGCTGAATTCGCCATCGCAGATTGACCGCTGACACCGTTCCATTTCGGAAATACAGAGATGTTCTACGATCGAGGCAACCATTATGAATTCCTTTCGCTGGTCCAGGAGCTCGCCGCGCCCGGCGAGCTGCTCCACCCGCAGACCTTCCCCTTCAATTTCAAGAACGTCGAAAAGCAATACGAGTCTTACAATGGTATCAACGTCAAGCTGCGCTACTTTGTCCGGGTGACCGTCTCGCGGCGCATGGCGGACGTCATTCGGGAAAAGGACTTGTGGGTGTACTCGTACCGCATGCCACCTGAGAACAACAGCCCCATCAAGATGGACGTCGGTATCGAGGACTGCCTGCATATCGAATTTGAATACTCCAAATCCAAGTACCATCTCAAGGATGTGATTGTTGGTCGTATCTATTTCTTGCTCGTGCGGCTCAAGATCAAGCATATGGAATTGTCTATCATTCGACGGGAGACAACGGGATCACCGCCAAATCAATATAACGAGAGTGAGACCTTGGTGCGCTTTGAGGTATGTGATTTATGGAACATACTTGATGTGATATTGGGGTATGAGATGCAGATCATAAGAATGCTAACTGGCGTGCAGATTATGGACGGTTCGCCATCGAGAGGTTAGTGAACACATCGAAACTTTGTTTCTTGTCACGGCCACCAACCGAAAAAAAAGCGCCTTCAATGACTCTCGCGAGGGTTGGCAGGCTTGGGGCAATCTTGAGCATAGCTAACTTTCCATAGGTGAAACCATTCCGATCCGTCTGTTCCTTGGTGGATTTGACTTGACGCCGACATTCCGCGATGTTAACAAGAAGTACTCGACAAGGTACTATCTCAGTCTCGTACTGATTGACGAAGGTATGTTATAATTACCCCATACTCTCTGTTCTTTTCCCCATCCTTGGCAATCCTCAAATCAGTCCATGACGCATCCCAGAATGCGGGGTGCAGAGACCAAAATGATGCAATAGCCGTCGGCAATTGAAGTTACCCAATACAACCAGGTCGGCCCGTGTTGCATCATTCAAATGTTTTGCCGGAGACCCCCAAAACCCGATACCCCCACGCTAAACCCTTTCTGGTGGCAACTCCACCGATACAATTTACCATACACTCCTCCCATCTCTGATACATCATTGGCCTACAATCTCAATCTCAATGTCTTACACTGGCCCAATAGACGCCCGCCGCTACTTCAAACAATCCGAAATTGCGCTCTACCGCCAAGCCCCCGAGATCGCCCCGAACCCCCAGATCGCACAGCAGCAGCAGATCCAGCAGCAGATGCTCCTAGAGCAACAGCGCCAGCAGCCCGCTCTTCCCCCGGGCTCTGCTACCGCTGGACCCGGCAGAGAAGCCGCGCCGCTTCGGCAGGAGCCTCAGCCTGTTCCCGCGCCCGCAGCATAGACTATCTTATTCTATCCTCATTATCGCGTCTTTCTTACACTTGGTACCTGCGGATCTGTTCTTCTATACCCGCCTCTTGTCTCTGCTCTCGATTTCCCCTACTCCTCTACTACTCACTATTCATTTGTGCCCGTTGATCCTGCCTGTCTCACGGCTATGTCACGATATCACTCTGTAGTATACTTTACTCTGTCTAAATTCGTGCCAAGTCTCATTCCAAATCGATCCTTATCTTAGATTCAGATTGTATGTGTCATTCCGGGAGAAGCTGGAGTCTAGAGTATAAAGTAAAAACAATGCATTGATCGCCATAGTACATAGTACACACGCAGCCGGGTCATACTTCATCCACACAAGTCCTAGTTCTAATACTCAAACCGACCTATTTCCTGCAACACCTTCCCCAGCGCCTGGAGAATTTGCCCATCGTCACGCTCTTTGCCGGCGACCTGCACAGCGCGCACAACCAACGGATAAATCCACTCGAGGTGTCTCCGATAGTGGTGCTCCTCCGCGTCCCCAGCCTCGAGAACCGAGACGGTCTTCAGCGAAGGAGGATCCGGGATAGCCGATGGCTCACTCTTCAGCTCGACCATGCTGACAAGGAGATGGAGCAGGGCCTTGCGGGCAGGCGTGGGCTGGGGCATCAAGCCGCGTAGTGGCTGGTCTGCGATGTAAGACTTGAGCGAGACAGCGCAGCGCAGGAGCAGGTAAGGCGAGATCGAGCGTGCGAGCAGAGTCTGCGGGGATGGGGCGTCGTTCTTGATCTCGGTATTGGCTTGCGAGTATGCGGCGAGCTCGAAGAGTGTGTCTATGAGGACGTAGGCTATTCCTGGGCGCAGGGTTGGCGGTGGATCGAAGGTACGGCCAGGGCGTACGGTGTAGAAGTCCTGTAGGGGTGCATTTTCGAGGCCGGTGCTGGGTAGGTCGAAGCGGAGGGGGGCGTAGATGAAAGAGGAGTGGAAGAGAGCGCGGGCGAAGTCGCGGCGGACGGCGTCTGAAATTGCTGCTGCTCCCAGGGATGGGAGGATGAGAGTCTTCAGGCGGGTGAAGGCTTTGATGTCAAATGCTTCGTCTGCGGTGATTCGGGCGTTGGGGAGTTGGTGGGCTTGGAAGCCGCGGGCGGAAACAATTCCATTTGTGATCTCAACGATGCGTTGCCAAAACTGAGATGTTTCGGACTCGTTTCCCTTCATGTATTGCTTTTCCACGTAGGGGACCGCGACTTGGAGGACGTTCAGAGATACTGTTGTAGCCTTTTGCCATAGGAATGGCTCGCGGTCCTTCCCTTGCCATGTGTACTTTTGCGCAATTAGAGCACTGAGGTGTGCGAGGGAGTTTGCAAGAGCACTATTTGTAAAGACGTCTTGCTTGATGCCGAATTCGGCAATGTACCAGCTGACAAAATCGATGGTTCTTTTCGAGAAGGCCACGAACGCTGGTCTTCGAGTGTCGCTGCCGGGGCTCCATTTTGATAGTGCTGAATCGGATAGTTCGGCAAGGCACAAGAGAATATCCGGCTGAGAGTCCTCTTTCTCCAGGCAGAGCGTTTTGATACAATCAATTACTAGCGCTTGCAGTGCCGAAGGTCGGTCGACATCCGGAGAGTAGCGCGGAGAGACCGAGTTCCACACGAGCAAGCTCAGGGCATGAAGGACCTTTTCAATGTGTTTCGTGGTCAGCTGGTCTTTGTAAAGGCGATAGACCTGTTGGAATGTATGTAGATAGGCTAAAGCAGCATCCTGGTTAGGTTGGTCTAGGTCGACCATCTGCTCATCGCCAGCAGGGTGTCCGTTTGCCCAAAGAAGCCAAGCACACTCAAGAACATCGTTGCTAATTTCATCATTTTGCACCCGGAGCAGAATTGCCGAGAGGCTAGAAAAGGTTGCTTCGCTGAAATCCAAAATATGTAAGTCAATCAGACTTTGCAAGTACTTCAAAAGTCGCTTCCAGGACTGATCGAACTTCTCGTCGCGCACAATGGTCTCGAAGAAATTCGTGATCAGATTTGATAAACCCTTGATCATCACCACTGTCGTATCCACCCACGCCCTGAAGTCATCGGATTTTGCGTTGCTCCGATTGTATTTGGCCTGGAGCAGAGGGGTCTCAATTCCCTCGGCCATCTTGAAGAGGACCATGTTTAGGCACAAACGCCACGCTTCGGGGGAGAGCTGCTGTCCGTAGGCGTCGAAGATGCGCAGAAGCGTATGGACTGCGCTGTTTCGAATCTCAGGTCGACTATCTGTTGTGATATCAACGATGCGAAGCAACAGCAGCAGCCATAGCGAGTTCCGCGAAACAGAAGGGTCCTCATCATGAGCCAATTTAGCTAGCTCTTCTTCGCTGACGGTTGCATCAACATGGCTGACTGAAATCTGCTCAATCTGGCCCTGGAGAAAGTCGGAAACATTCCAGAAAAATGAGGTTGTGGTGAGTGAGATGTTGAAATCTTGGGTTTGCGACGTAAAGCTAGAGAAGGCATTCACCAAGCTCAAAAGACAGGGCGCCGGTAGCAGAGAAAGGAAGTCGGATGCGACAAGATGCAGAGACTTATAAGCAGCACGTACCAGACGAGGGCCTGCTGGAAGAGCCGATGATCTGCGCTCTATCGGGGTGGAAGACCGATCAGCAGTTCTAAGATCTGGGGTATGTTGGAAAACATTAGATATCAAATCAAAGATGAGGTGCCATCCGTCCACGAAAGTTTCTGCGTATTGTTCCAGAATGTTGTTTAGCACTTCTAAGCTCTGTTCGTGGATTTCAATCACGGTTATCGGTAAAGACTTGGATGTGTGCATGTCTGATGCATAAAGCGCGGCAACCTGGGCTTTCAATGTCTGCAGGTTCCTCGTCTGCAATTGATTGTAAACTTTCTCATCATCTTCGTCCCTCTGTTTCATCGTTGAGAATACGAGTGAATTCAGAATTGCGCTTGCCTGCAGGCGAAGATTCGGACTGGCGGTAGTATTTGCGGAAGCCGAGATGAGACTTTGCGTAAGCAGCCCCCATGCTTTGCTGTCTTCTTCTTCGAGCGAAGACAGTCTCCCAAGGTTTGCCTTGGCCAGTTCGTTTCCTTTTTCCAGTACAAATTTGAGTTCCTCGTCTTGCATTCTTGATTTTCCGACGGTATGCGATACACGCCGGGAGCTTTGGTGTAAGCGTCCACTTCCTTGGGAAGATTGCGGCGTTCGTGGCATTTCTAATACTTCCTGGGCATCACTTTGGTTGCGACTCTGCTCCGTAAATGTTGAAAGATTCAACAAGGCGAATAATATTTCCTCAAAAGATGCACTTGGGAAATCGCTAGTGCTTTCGAGCATTTTGCTAGAAGCTGCCTGGACCGCAATCACCTCAGTCCCAAGATTGGCCGTCGGAACGTCATTTCCCGGGGTGAATGAAGTCTCCCCAGTCCCACTAGCCGATTTGACCATCGCGCTTGAGGACATGCCAATCACCAGTCCAGTATATTGAAGTGTTTCAAAAATAATGGACCAGGCCGGCTGATCCAATGTCGGTCCCAAAGCAATTCCGAGGTTAAGCAAAGCCCGCATACAAAGTAGATTCCTTGTGCTTAAAGACACGGGAGACCCTTCCCCTGCAGTTGCTGCTGCAGCCTCCATTGCCAAAGAACTGGAATTTGATAAATCCGCACTTCTCCGTTTCTTCTGGAGTGTGTCACTTTGCTGGGAGCCAGTGGCAGACGCATTGTGTGACTTGGCGCCACCCGCACTCGCAGGCGTGGCGGCCTTTCCAAGAGTTGTTAAGAAAGCATCTCGTGGAACAGCCAATCTGAGAAGACCCGCCACATGAGCTAACTTTTGGAAAGCTCGAACGAGGTTGTGGTAATACTCGTCATCCAAGGATGCGCGCAAAAAAGTAGAACAAGCCGCTAGAACAGCAGGCCAACAGTTCTCTATTATCCCTGCACAGGTCTTGATAGCGGAGTACTGTATATGAGAATGCAGGTCCAGAGGATTTATGGGAACATGTGATTTTTTCGTTGGCGAGCTAGACTGCACTCGGATGGGTTCTGCTGTGAAATCTTGAGAAGATCTGGCGGAGTCGGGTCCTTGAGAGGGGCTCATAAGTCGATTCTTGCGTCTTTGCTTTAGATCCGGGACCGTCAATGGAAGAATGAATTTCGCGAGCCCTTCAGCAAAGCTACTGATACAATTAAGAACAAGGCTGTAAATGTAAGTGTCTGGCGGCGGGGGCGGATCTGTCTTGTCGAGGAGATCGATATATGGCGTACGAACAACACTCCACTGAGTGCTGATTCCAGGCACCTTGGTTTCACTTGGAGGAACAGTTGACCCAATGACACCAGCAACACCACCGGTTTCAAGAGTTATTTGATCCTCTGTGGTGGATCTTGAGTGTTCCGCGCGTGAAGGTACCGTTGATTGATTGCTGACGCCAATCAACGAAGGCTTCTCTGAAGCTAGCCGGACCAGCGCAGCCATATGGTCACGGATGATGTTTTTTCTGCCTTCCTCGCCGTCATACAGAGTGTAAATTAGCCGCACGGCACCCGGCTCGGAGTATAGCCCTCGAAAGACTTCCATGCAGAGCAGTCGTTTCCAAGGTGCTGTCCCATCCGGCTCAACAAGATGGGTTATCAGACTCAATGCCATCTCGCATTCGGCAGTCAAGAGAGACATATGACGCTTCAGAAGAATGAGAAGAATTCGAGCCACTCGAACGGTTTGAGCGAATGAATACCTCTCAGATAGACAACGGACGGCTAGTGGTAACAACCGAACGCGCAGCACTTGCGAAAGTTCGGGATGTCCCACAAAAAGACGGCCGCTGTTCAGGAGAATACTCTCAATAAGTTCGAGCACAAAAGTCGGGGATAGGGTTCGTGTTCGCAGAAATTGCAGTGGCTCACCATCGATCAGACGACAGAGATCATCCAATACTCGCAGTGCATCGTAGGCGAAGTAGCCGATGTCAAGCGATTGACCGTCGACTTTGATGGTTGTGGTGATTTTGGCATCGTTAGGCAGATTGTCTTCGCTCGAAACTCTTTCAAATGTCGATACCACCAGCTGCTGGAGGGTAGCCGCGGCAGTACTAGAAACTGCAATCGTTTTGCTTGCCTGTAATGTGGCGCATATTTCCAACGTATTCGCAAGAAGCTCCCCGCTCAATTCATTGGAATAAAACTGTAAAAGCGAAGGCAGAGACTGTAGAATTTTTAGCTGAATATCAAGGCCTAGGAAGCGTCAGCGCAGTTTGAATGTATTCATTTCGTTTAACACTTACTCAAGCTCGTTGTCTCCTTCAGGCCTCCCAGGACATCTTTCAAACGACTCGAGGGTAATGACCGAGATGCAATGAGTCTCTGTAAGCAGATCACGCCAATACCAGCAAGTTTCGCTTGCCGAGTATGGCATGCAATGATGAATGGCTCGACGAAGTTCGGCTTGCGAACAAGGTCTAATAGCGATTTAGCGGGCCAACTGACAAAAGGTTGTTGCCATTTAAGAACTTACCTGCTGCTATTTGAGCCTCTGACGTCGAGGGCAGTGCTTTGAGCTCATTTAATGATTGTTCGGCGGCCTGTCAATTCCTCGTTAGTGTGCCATGGCGGACGATGCATAGAAAGAAAGTGATGACCAACATTTCGTAAATCGGAGTTTTTCCTTCGACATTCATGAATCAAATTGGCGATCTCCGTCTGCAAGAATTGGGAGGACATTTCTGATATAGATTTGTTGTATCAGAGCATGGCCAGCACCGGCTAATGCCCGAGGTAACAGTACAGGTAACTCTCGATCGCAGATGAATATGTCGGTGTTTCCACGCCGAAATAGTTGTAAACCTAGAGCTTTGGGGCCAGGTTCATGTGAGCAGCAAGAGAGCAATGGCCGCGATTCTCCTATTACAATGATTCCACGATGGGATCAACAAGGCGTGGCATCTCCAACAGGTCCAAGCTATCGATAAGCCGTATCGCACGTGACCGTGCTTCAACTTGACCGCCTAGCGCATTGCCCCTCTTGTCGCAACATCCCTCTTTAGCAACTACTCACACTTATCGTGACATTTCTAGCCTCTGAACCCACTACTCGGTGCTCAACATGGCTGCTAAGGTCCCAAGAAACTTTCGCCTGCTGGAGGAGCTCGAGAAGGGCGAGAAGGGTCTGAGTGCAGGTACGATTGACTCCCACGATCTCCGACATTGTCCGATCTTAGATCACTGACGTATCTTTCTTATTTTTAGATGCCTGCTCATACGGACTTGCTGATGGAGAAGACATGATGATGAGCAACTGGAACGGAACTATCCTTGGTCCGCCTCACGTTAGTTCTGGCCCTACTCCCCGCCATTATGAAACCATCACTAATCTGCCATCTTTCAGAGCGTTCATGAGAACCGGATATACAGTGTGAACATTCACTGCGGACCTGACTACCCCGATAACCCGCCTACCATTCAATTCGTCTCTCGAGTCAACATCCCCTGTGTTGATCCCAGCTCTGGCAAGGTATGAGAAGAGTGGGTACCAACACATAAAGCCATTACTGAGTGATTATATTACAGGTCGATCCGACAAAGCTTCCAACCCTTGCGCAGTGGAAACGAGACAACACCATGGAGACTGTTCTGATTGAGTTGAGAAGGTGAGCAGAACGAATGGTACAAGATCAATGGTTGGTGTTGACACTATATCCAGGTACATGGCCTTGCCCCAGCATAAGAAGCTGCCGCAGCCCCCAGAGGGCTCGACTTTCTAGTCCAACATATGTGACCCACTCAGTGCAGGCGGATCTCGGAGTATCAGGGTCGGCTTCATTTAAATTTCCTGGCTTCTTCTCTTTTTCTTTGACTCTAGAGCGTGTACAGTCTCTGCATGAAGGCATTGGCAGGGGCTCTTTCGGGCCCCAATTTTCAATTTTCATCCCTACATTAGGTATTCATCTCTACAGTGTTTTGTTTTGTAGAAATGGGCATTGCGGCAGGCGCCTGTTTACCAATAGCAACAAAAACAAATGACATTATTGATCGAGTGACGAGATACCGAGTAGAATCATTCACTTAGGCTATGATTGTAGTTCCATGTGCGAATTCGACCAGCCTTTTGAGGACAGGTCAGAGAGGTCAAAACAAGGGCATTGAGGGCATCCAGCTAGAAGACCACGACAAAAGCATGGTAGAGGCAGACGACCACCATGGGGGAGAGAACAAGGGGGGTAGACGAGTGACACAAAGCGCAGACCCCAGGCAGGTAACATAATGCATACGGAGTACGGTATCTCATAACTACATCATAGCTTCTTCTCCAAGCGCCCGGACAAGCCGGACAGTTGATGAAAAAGGAGTTCGCGTCGATCGGGGGTAGTGTAAGCCCAATGACACTGTGCAACGAGGCATGCGCAAGCACAGGGGCCAAGTCGCGGAGTCCAAAAATAGGAATAATCAAAGTGTTTCCTGGACGGAAACTTTCAGAGATTAAACTGAAAAGAACAGATACTACACTTGATCTAAGCCAATAGGCAAAGAGAGCTGAAGAAGAAAGAAAAGAAGAGGAAGTTCTGGGGGCGCGGGTTGGTATATATAGGCGTTTGTGGGTCACGTGACTTTGACCAAAGGCGGTCCTCGCGTGCAATATTCACTAGCCAGATTGGGACACAGATCACACTTATGTAATGCTGTGCTCTGATTCGTTTGAAGTAGGCGGTAAGCGGGCGGTGAACCCCCCTGCAGGTAGAAACGAGATAAGATATGTGATTATTTGGTCAAGCTTAGCTTCATTTATGGTATATCCATTCAACACGGCAGAATGCATAAAGTGGTAGTGCCCAAGTACTCGGGAGCTCATCGCTTTGCTTGTAAGAAATGACTCTCTACGTTTACAGCCCTTCTAGCTAACAACCTGTCTCTGATAGGCTTGGCACTTTATCGAGCACTTCTCCGACAATGCCGCCCTTCAAATGCAGACACCCCATGGCTGAGTGAGACCAAACCTCTCATTCGACAGAATTTCCGAAAATATAAGAAATTACAAAGCCCATCACAATCAGCAAATGCCTTGAAGGCCGGCTACGAGGTATGCGCGTCGAATGTTCGTCTAAGCTGAGCTCATGTGTTGATATTTCGTCGCCGTATGACAGGCTCTAGATCTCCTCTCTTCGTCCCGTACCAACCAACAAGATGCGCACCGGATCACAACTCTCATAGCCCAAGCCAGGTCACAGAAAGATAAATATGCTGCAATGCAAAGGAAAATCCGGCCAGTAGCACCGCCTGCCAAACCCCTTACGCCCAAGAAAGCCCGAAAGGAGAAGTCAATCCGCTTCCAGGAGGAAACATCTCAGCGACATCCGAATGCCACATCGATCCTAGACCGACCTCGGCCAGTGGGTGACAAGAAGCGTCATGTCCCTGTACTTGTCAATGCACGCGGGCTTCCGTTCTTGCGATATAAAAAGCCACAGCCGAGAAACGTTAGCAGTGTGATACGAAAAAAGCTTGGGCGTCGCTGGAACTGGATTGAGCGTCGAGACAGGCTGAAGATAGAACTACTTTTCGCCAAGGATGAAGAGGAGTGGGATCGCATCACCCAGACCAAGGAGCCATCCACTTGGTCTGAGCATCCTGCAAATGCCATAGCCGATGTCAATGCGAGAATCGGACGCTTCGATATGCATTCCAAAGAGCTTGCAGATAACATGTGGAAGATTGTGCTAGCTGAAAAGGCTTTAGCGGAAGAAGAAGCTATCCAAAAGCAGCCAAAGCAATGAAACCGAGTGGTTGTGGTCCGCCTTGCTGCGCATGCATCGTTGCCATACTAAAGGACATTCCCCTGGCTGTTCTGGCAGACTGATGTCGGTCAAGCCATATGGCTGTTGTAGCCTAGACCCATGTCTAACCACATTAGAACCACCTACGTCCATGGCCAAGCCATTGTCAATATCGCCTGGGACCAAAACACAAAGGTCGGTTGCTCGAAGCATCCAAGAGGCATGGTATATTGTCCATGCCAAGATGGGCAGGTATGTCCCTTCTTGATCAAACCCGATAAATGGCCACCATGGACTGCTACCATGCCGAGGTCACTGTGCTCAAGCAAGCGGCTCAAACTGAGACAACAGCTCTCTTTCGAGTCTTCTTTTGTCTAATTATTGAGCATTATATTGCCCTGTACCATAACCTAAGTCCATGTGGACTTTCAGACCTGTATATTACTCCGCCTACGCTTAATACAACATTGAAGTTCACTTACAGCTCAGTATAATTACACCAATTTAACAATGTTATAATACATAATTTCATGAAGTAATGGCAGGTCATTAACATTTCTATGTATCAGCTCATGCAGCCACTTTGAGCTTCTCAACAGGCGGCAAGGCATCTTCCTCTTCCTCGTCATAATCACCCTTGACCAGGCCCTTCTCCCACAATTGTCGGCCTGTGAGCTTTTTCTCTTCTTTCGTAGGCTTTTTCTTCTTGTCCTCCGATTCCTTTTCCTCGCGTGCCCGAAGCTCCTCTTCCTCCTGTTCCTTTTTAAACTTGGCACTCCACTCCAAGAATGATTTGACAGTGACTGCTGTGCCATGGAATTTTCGGTTTTCCTCCTCCTCTCTCTTCGCAGCGACTTGGTCCTTCTCGGCTTGAATAGCCTCTGCTCGCTCGATCATAAGCTGCTCTGCGCTTTCCTTAAGTGCGCTGACCAGTGTGAATACCATCGGCATACCCAGGTTCTCTTCAATGGTGGGCTGAAGAGACTCCATCAATAGGTCCCGGTCTTCCTGGACATCTAGCCGATCATGCTTTGAAGCATTGGGTGGAGAGGAAATGCTGAGATTTGGGCCAACATCGGGGTAGTCTTCAGGGTAGGAGACTTCCAGGCATATCACGGGTTGCTCCGTTTCGTCGCCTTCATACTCGAGGGCATCGAGGGTTATGGATACTCGGTACGAGGTTTCAGATATGTCTAGGGGCCGGGTCTCGCTGTGAGCAATGATGAAAAGGGAATTTGAGCCGTCTAGACGCCTTGTCTGTTACTTACCGGTAATTTCATCGGGGAAGATTGAATCGAGCACTTCACGCTCCTCAATCTGGTCTTCGCGACCCATAGCTGCTGATCCGCCCGCGGATTGGAGGGGTAACGATTTGAGCGCCGGGGTGCAGATTCTTCAGGAAACACCGCGTGGAGGGACGAGTGTGGTTCTAGCGGGGGAGATTCCAATGCTATCTCGGCAATACTTTGAGCTTCGCAATATCAATTAACTCTGAAGAAAGATCGGAGCGCAAATCAAGTCGACGCAACAAACGTCGGGGCCAAGATTAGTCACGTGCTTATATCAATTCCCCGTTATCCTTGCCCGCCAATGCAGTCTATTGTAAATTTTGACCGCCTGGCTCACCGCTGGCTTTTCATTATGAATTGGCTCTTGAAGATATAATTTCCACCCGTGAGCACTATTGTAGACTTTTTCTAGTTAGTTACTCTATTTTTATATATCGGACCATTGCAATAAACTATAAATTAAATGAATAAGTCGTCGGGATTAAAGGTTATAGCATAAAGTATATAGATAATAATTCAAACATGCAGGATTCAAAGTATGGACAATAAGAGCGCTGGAATAGTGAGTAGTCAGCCGCTTATACACCCCTGTGTAGTCTGTTTGGCAATTTTTTAGGTAGGTATGTATTCTTCGGGATGTAGTCTTCTGGTAGTCTGGAAGTCTTCTCGGATATATACTGCAGGTAGAATCTGAACTATGACCCGCTTCGAGGAGACTAGTCCCACATGCAAACCCGTCAAACAGCCCAAAATTTTGGTTGCGGAGCTTCACTTTTTTAATTCCAGATACCCTGCGAGTTACAATTGTCAATCACTCTGCTTCATATTCCAGTCGACAACATCACGATTTTTCAATAAATTTCGCAGCATCCTGCCATGGGAAAGCCTAGACCGCAAAAGAAGAAGTCATCCAAACCCCGCGAAAAGTCCGTCCTTGGCCCTGGTGGCTCAATCTCGAAAGGCAAAATGGCTCAAGATCCCTCGACATTACTCGACCAAGCCACAATCCTCCTACAAACTGGTCGAGCCGATGAGGCACTCGTGGTTGCACAGCAGGCTCTGGATTTGACTGCTGAAAACACCACTGCACAGCTCCCCGCCATTAACCTGCTTGGAGAAATCAATGTTGAACTAGGCGAAATCGACACCGCTAGAAACTGCTTCCTTCAGGCTGTTCAACTCGATCAAAATGGCTCGATACCGGAATCCCAGGGTGGAGGAGCTGAGAAGTTCCTTTGGCTTGCGCAATTGAGTGAGCAAGGTGGAAAGGACAGCGTCCTGTGGTTCGAGATGGGTGTGGCGTCCCTCAGACAGACTATTCAGTCTCTTGAGGGGAAAACATCACCCGAACAGATCGCCGAAATTGAACAGAAGAAGGCCAAGCTATCTAATGCACTCTGTGCCGTCGCTGAAACCTACATGACCGATCTTTCGTGAGTTCCTCTACATTCTATATTTATATGAGCCAACGCTAACATACTCGCTCAGCTGGGAAGAGGATGCCGAAGCTCGGTGTGAAGCACTTATCACGGAAGCCCTCCTTGTCACACCCGAAGCCCCGGAGGTACTACAGACCCTCGCCTCCATTCGGATTTCACAACTGCGCACCGAAGATGCGCAAGCCGCGCTCACTCGCAGTATGAGCTTCTGGAAGGATCTGGCCCCAGAAGATCTGAAAATTCCCGATTTTGCGGTGCGCATCAGTCTTGCGCGACTCCTGATGGAAGTGAATATGGAGTTCGAGGCTCTGGAAGTCCTCGAGCGCTTGATTCTAGAGGATGATCAAAGTGTAGAGGCCTGGTACCTCGGAGGCTGGTGCCTCTTCCTGCTGGCAGAAAAGCAACAGGCACCTAAGGATGCGAGCGCTGAGGAGCTTGCCGAGTCCCCGCGACATGCATCACTAGACGCTAGTCGTGAATGGCTCAAGCAAGGCCTGAAGCTCTACGATGTCCTTCAGTACGAGGATGACCGACTCCGCGATCATGCATTGGAGCTTGTACAGGAAATCAACAAAGAAATTGGAGAGGATGATGAGAGCGAAGCTGAAGGAGAGGGAGAAGGCGAGGATTCAGATGTTGAGATCGAAGTCGACTCCGACGATGAGATGGCAGATTCATAGATACCAAAAGTGACGACCACATGAGATGATGTACATGTTCATTGATTTGTTTGATTTGATACCTCCAGAAGTAGTTTCTTTAATTTTTCCGCCCAACTGTTTGTCTCTCTTTTTCATTGTCAACCCCCTGTACCAACAAACCAAAACTTCTTCGATATCGCCACTGCAATTCATTCATCGGTTCCGGATTAAGTTGCCTCCGGTGAGGCAGATGCCCGAATTTTTGCCAAAGCAGATTTCAAGCGCGAGTGAAATAGTTTGTCTCCGTGGCTGGCATCTCAGACTCCTGCAAAATGGATTTGGTACCAGCCCCAAAAGGAGAGGCTTCGCTGAAGACCACCGTGGTCGAGGTAGAGGCCGTAGATATGGAGGAACAGTACCCCATGGACGACGACGCGCCGGACCTCGCACTTGAGATTTCGTCGGATTTGGAGACGGACAGTGATGATTCTGAGGGATGGGATAGTCTGTCTAACTGCGATGAGGCGATCCAGTTCCTACGCGATGACCAGATCCGCGACGGCCTCGGTATGTAACTATATCCACCCTCACCTCTTTCCCCGGATACCCCCGCTCTCGGAGATCAGAACGAACATTGGCTAATGCGCTCACTTTTCCGTCGCAGTTCCCGGTGCTTGTACTCTAGAAGAGGCGACTGCATATCGACAGCGTCTACATGCGATTGGCAAGGCGGCGTTCGTGGAAGAGACCATCCTCCGCCAAACCGTCACGGCCAAAAAGCTGTGCACGGCGTTTGGAATCGCACCCCCGGCATTCCTCGACGGTGCACCAGATGAGTCTTATCATTCTCTTCTAGCGATCGCGATCTCGCGCGAGTTCTCCCGGAGGCCCAAGCTTCCCCAGTACAACTCCATCGACGATGCTGTTCGGCTCCTTCGCGAGTCTCGGAACATCATCGTTCTGACAGGCGCAGGTGTATGTTTATATCAATGTATATTCGGAATACTCCTGATCCATAAGTGCTAACCGGTATTTTATCAGATCTCGACTAGCCTGGGCATCCCCGATTTCCGTTCTAAAGATACCGGGCTCTACTCAAAACTGGCGCATCTGGGCCTGAGCGACCCCCAAGAAGTCTTTGATATCCATGTCTTCAGGGAGGACCCGAGCGTTTTCTTTTCGATTGCCAAGGATATTCTCCCGACGGAAAAGAAATGGTCGCCCACCCATGGGTTCATTCGGCTTCTACAAGACAAGGGGAAGCTGTTGACCAACTACACGCAGAATATCGATAACATTGAAGCAAATGCAGGGGTACTCCCGAAAAATATTGTACAATGCCATGGATCCTTTGCGACGGCCACCTGCGTGAAGTGTGGGTTCCATGTCCCTGGCGACGCGATCTTCGATGAAATCAGAGCCGGAAACATCCCCCACTGCACCGTCTGCAAGGAGAGAATCGCAGAAGAAGAACTAAAGCCGCAAGGTCTCAAGCGCAAACGAAGTTCCAATGGTCAGCAGAAAGACCGCAAGGTCTCCGATGACAGTTCGGATGAGGACGACTATGAAATCCCGACTCCTGGAGTAATGAAGGTCAGTGATTGTTCGGTGCCTTACTTGCTTTCTTCCATACTTACAGACAGTGCAGCCTGATATCACATTCTTTGGCGAGGATCTGCCCGATGAGTTTGGTGAACGTCTAATTCACCAAGATCGGGAATTAGCAGACCTAGTCATTGTGATCGGAACCTCGTTGAAGGTAGCCCCCGTGGCCGAAGTGCCGGGAATCCTACCTCGCCATGTCCCGCAGATCTACATATCGCGCACTGTAAGTCATACTATTTTTTTTTTGACACTGTACCATACTGACCATGGCATATAGCCGGTGACACATACCGAGTTCGATATTGATCTCTTAGGTGACTGTGACGTGGTGGTATCAGAACTTTCTCGTCGGGCCGGTTGGGATCTACAACATCATATGATACCAGCCGATGAGAAAGTGGATATTACCCCGGTGGAGGGATATGAATCACGACATATTTTCAAGGTAGTCGGTGCATAGGGGCGGAGTTTTCGGCATGTCTTGCTTCTGTCTTCAGGCGTATCTTCGGGGGGGGTTTTTTTCATAGCTGGATGTGATGATATTAGGTAGTCCTGGTCTTGTTATTTTTTGTGCGATCATATCACACCTGGATAGATCTGGGCTTCATCGACTTATAGTTCAATCGTTCATGCAAATCTTGTTCAAAATCTCATCTTGATGCTGTAAATTTATCATATCCAACTCTCTAGCCATTTGTCAATTCATTTCTAATCATATTCCAAAGATGTAGGACTCAATTTCGCTGATTTTAGTATTTGGAAAATAAAGAAAATTTCTGTTGATATCAATCCATACTCTGTGTCTCCGTGGAGTATATTTCTGAAGACCCGAGAAAAAAAAAATCTCAACCCGCAACACCCCGCCTTGAGAGCAGCAACGAATTACGTGAACTCCCACTGTCAAAAGAGATATCCTTAAGAAAAAAACCAGACATACATTCGTCTCGCCATGGATTACCTGGTTCGGTTCGCCCAGCTCCATGAGACCTTCCGACAGCCGGAGATTCAAGCCTGTGCCACACTCGCGGGCGTTGACATTGAAATCATCACCTACAATGAATATGTATGATACCCTTTCCACCTATATTCGAAGCGTCTAAATCATTCCATGAGCATTGATCCACAATGACACCCATCCTCTATTTATCCTTGCATGATCACCCTCCATCTGCAGAAATTTGACTGACATACCCAGTCACCATACTGTGTCGTAAGACTACCAAACGAAGCTGCGGCGCGGGCAGTTGCCAAGCGCAGTATTTTGGTCAAGGATATCTTCGAGCTATGGGGCGAAGGCACCAATTATGAAGAGCTACATGCAGATGTTCATCGACGAACCCAGGATCGCTGGAACGACTACAATGCTGTCCCATTCAAATTCACGATTGACTACTTCGCAGGAACGCGCAGCCAAGCTAAAAAGGGAGAGATCATTCGATCATTCTCATACATGGGGTTCAAAGGCCCGATTCGGCTAACAAACCCCGACGAGGAGTTTTTCGTGATGGAAGAGTACATTGATGATTACGAAGTCTCTGTCACGGGCGTGTTGCGAACGGGAGATCCGCGGAAGATTTACCTCACTCGCAAGGTTGCCGATAGCTGTCGCGAGGACATACTCAAGTACGACCTCAAGAAGCGTCGTTATATCAGCACGACTTCCATGGATGCGGAGTTGAGTCTCATTACGGCGAACATGGCTCTTGCGGCACCTGGAAAATTGTTCTTTGATCCATTTGTCGGAACTGGAAGTTTCATAGTTGCTGCTTCGCATTTCGGGGCTTTGACTCTGGGCGCAGACATTGATGGCCGCAGTTTCCGTGGCAAAGAGGCCGGAAAACTGGGCATATATGAGAATTTTGACCAATATGGCCTCAAGAGTAAATTTGTTGATACGTTCACTTCCGATCTTACCAACACGCCACTGCGGAGAACCGCCGTCCTTGATGGTATTGTCTGCGATCCGCCATACGGTGTGCGTGAAGGACTTCGGGTTCTGGGAAATCGCAAGGGAAAACCTGCGGTCAATGTGATCATTGATGGTGTTCCTGCTTATCTGTATGTTATTTTTCTTCCATTTCCCTCGCAGACTTACAATACTGACTTTGACCTATAGCCGGCCTGGTTTCGTTCCTCCCAAAAAGCCTTATGGCTTTGAGGCTCTGCAGAACGACGTTCTCAACTTTGCCGTTCGCTCGTTGGTTCCCAATGGCCGTTTGTCAATGTGGATGCCCACAACGAATGACGAGAAAACCGAGTTCCCTGTGCCCATGCATCAGAATCTCGAGATTGTCAGCATCTCTGTTCAACATTTTAACACCTGTAAGTGACAGGCCTTATGATATAATTGTGATATTGAAAGAGATTGGTTGATTTTGTGTCCTATAGGGTCTCGCCGACTTATAACCTACCGCCGTCTACCAGAGGGACAGTTGTCAGATATCACACTAGCCCGGAAAAAGATTGACGACCAGGGTACTAGTGCGGATGATCTCAATGCATTCCGACGAACGGTACGTATTATTTGGGAGTTGATGTCTCGCTACTTGGCTAACTTGTTGAATCAGCATATGCTCCGAGGCCACGGCACCAGGGTCGAGAAGGACCAAAAAACGACAGAATAAGAACCCCGATATAGCAAATAGGATAGGAAGCTATCTAGCCTACCTTCGGCTCGGAGGCTTGCAAAACTGCGTAATTTAAATACCTATATACAGCGGATAACCCGAAGATGGGGCAAATGATCAGATGCAATAACAGAAGAGGATACCAGATACAGCGTACTTCACAGCTTCCCTCGCTGGCTTCCCTCTGGGGCCAAGTCTCCAGCCAAGTCCACGCCCTCGTCCCTATGAATTCGTTTGACTTCCTCAGCCAGCTCAGTTCTCAACTCACGAGCCAAGGCCTCAGCCTCATCATCGTCGAGCTCCTCTCTCTGCCCCCTGCCAAACATAGCAAAGCTTGTTCTCTGATTGGCCCCTTGGGCAGGGCGTGGGATGATGTGGAAATGGACATGGGGTACTACCTGCGCTGCTCTTTCGCCTGTCACTCAGTTAGATGATTGTTGTTTTTCTGATTCCGTAAACATGCGATAACAAGGTGGGTTATGGATGTTGATCCCGTTTTAGTTCAATGACAGATGAAATAAAATATCAATCAAGGGTGTTCAACCTCCTTGAATGCCAATATTGATACATACATACGGAGTAACATCATACAACGCAGAAATACTCCAATTTCAAACGTCCAAGGGGGAAATGGAGAAAAACAAGAAAAAGACATACCATTGTTCTGCACAACATTCCAATGTCTATCGGGATCATCGCCAAACACAGTCTTCGTTACAACCCTGGAGAGAATAGGAAGCCATTTTCCTATCTATTCATCAAATCAAACACAAGGATCAGCTAGAGAAGCTTTTTTTTTTTTTTTTTTTTTTTGGAACAGTTATAGATAAACCGATGGGAAATAATTACATACCTCCTGTCCTGCTTGAACACCCATGTCTCCTAGCAACTTGTAATGATGTCTTGGCGCTACAAGGACATGACCGCGGGTAAGCGGCATAATGTCCAAGAAGGCAAGAACATGCTCAGTGGAGAGAATGAGGTGGGACAATGGTCCTAAATCAGGGGCCGTAGAGGCTGGATTGGACTGAGGGTCATTGAAGGGGGTTGGGGGGTATGCCGAGGCTATGTTGCAGAACGGACATGGCGGGGGTGCAATGGAATCCATGATGGGATAGAATATGTTTTTTTCAGTCCGAGTGTGGGGTTGTAAGCCTGAATTAGTATCAGCCTCAAAGACAGATGTAACTATTGTAGTAAACAAGGTGGAGGTTGATCTCAAGGTGATTCAGCGGCTCACCGGGACCAACCTTGGACCAACCTCGGCTAAGCATAAGCTTAATTGGACGCCTCTACAACCCCAGATATTATACCATGCACCAAAAAGAATAAAAAAAGAAATGGGTTCAATAAGCACGCCATACACACGGATCCAGTGTTAGAAATCCAACTATTTTGAACAAAACAAAAGCGGTCCAACTTGTCACCGATTACCTCAACCGTCCATCTGATATCAATCTTGCTTGCCTGGAAGACTCAGCCTGAGTAGTATTGAATCTTCCAGCTGATGAATTGAGAAACACCTGAGAAACAAAAAACCATAGCCACCTTGGCCGCACAAAAGATTTCCAATCCGTAATGCCACGCAAACGTGCAAGCCTTTGGAACTTGCATGATAAACAAAAAAAAGGGATCCAAAGAGGATAAGACTGCACCGTCCAACCTAAGACAAAGGCGACTCAGGGTGAAACAAGGTAAAATTGCGATTTGAAGAAAGAGAAAAATAGATCTCGACGCCTGAAACACGATTGACAAGAGTGTAAAAGATATCAGGGCAGGCGAGAGACAGATGCTAATGCACGGAAAACAAGCAAGCCGAGGTTGAAGATGTAGGGGTAAAAGAAGAATACAATAGCACACAAGGCCGAGCGCCGAACACCCCATCACAGAAGACAAATGCGGAAAGCGCAGAAATTCAATCAAGTCGTCGTAAGAATATGCAAAAGGTAGTGAAGTGAATACCAGCACAATGAAATGCCAACATATGTAGGAATTCGATTTCCCTGCTCAAGTCGTCGCAAGGCCCTAGGGAGTCATGAAAGGCATCGACGTTGGCGAGACAGGAGTAGCATGACATCGTAAATGGTACAATTACTGTTCATCCTTGGCGTAGCTGCTCTGCTCAGAGCCGTCGACGTAAAGGTGATGGTATTTCTTGGCCCATTGGCGAGTCAAGATAGAAGCTAGAAGACTGGTCAGCATGTCATCTGGTGAGACAAGAAAACTATTAATGATGCTTACCCTTCAAGAACTTCTTGCTGGCGTATTTCTTAAAGAAGGCTTCGTGGGAAACAGGGCGGTGGAGATAATCAACCATCAACTGGAAGACGGGATCGATCTCCTCCTCGGTGTAGCCAGCGTAGTGAGCGAGAGTGGCATCCTATGATATGTTAGTTGGGATGTCTGAACAGGCGAAATGCAATGTAGCGTACCCAGGGTCCACGCTCGAGGATGAGACGTGCAAGGTACATGGCTGCGGCAGAGATGTGGCTCTGGGGGAAGCCCATGAAGCGGTGATCGAGGAGGCTGATCTCCATCAAGTACTTGCCCAGAGTGCGGGTTTGGATATCATAGTTATCGGCCTTGGAGATACGTCGCAGGAAGTTCATGGGGTTGGGGAAGCTCATGTTGTACTCGAGTGTTGCGAGGACGTGACGTTCGGCATCGAGAATCTCCTTGTCCGAGAAGGTCTCATCGGCGACATGGCTGAAGTTGGCGACGTGAGGGGAGAGCACTTCCTCATACTTAGAGGCAATGAACATGGCGGTAACACCAACGAGCTGAAGACGATCAAGGGCGACAACTTCAGCTGACAGGAAGCGATCGATGATGT